GGTTTTCCTCCCACGCTCATTTCACAATTGAAATCGGCCAAAACATCCCAACTTGATGCAGTCCTCCTAATGCCTGCTCACGCCACTGCTGACGGAAGGGTCCCTCTCTAAAGAGCCCCTTTTTAATTTAATTCTTGTCCTGCTTCTTACAAATATGCCAAGAAATATTGTCAGAATGTAACAAAGCCCTCCTGAGAATGAGCACTGAGACTCACAAGTGAGGCTCTTCCTGGATTTGTGAAATTTTGATAGAACTGTGAAGGATTTTTTTTAAAATAATTTTATTCAACATTGCAACGCACTGTCATATTGAAGCGTACGGCTCTGATCAATCTTCTTCCTGGATAAAGGGCCTTTAAAAAGAAACGCAATCCTGATTTCCATCTCGTGGCCAGATTTTTTTTGTCCTCGCCTGACCTCTCAAAAGGGAAAGTGACACGTGTTTTTTTCTTGCCCACACCAAGCCAATACAAATCTCTCACCAAGATGGCAATCGGTCTATAGACAGGAATAATATACACATGGCGATCCGTTTATAGATACCACACTAAAACGAGAGAGATCATAGAAAAAACATAATTCAAATTCTATAAACGTCACCCACCGATCGCAATGCACTTATTGCATCCGAGTGGCTGGGTGGCAGCGCAGTGGCAACGCTTGCACCTCACAGCAAGAGGGGCCTCGCTTTGATTCACCGGTGCCTTTCTGTGTGACGTGTCTGTGTGTCTCCTCCTGTTCCGCATCGGTTCCCTGCGCGTTCTCCTGTTTCCTCCCAAAGCTGAAACACACACACACGCACGCAATGTAACCGAGTATTGGGCAAAGCATCCAAATGCTCAAAATTTTGCCTGGAAATTATTCAGTTGGAATTACGCATCATCAACATCGCCAATCTCAGTGCACTTATTGCAACCTTTTAACACCAGTGAGCTTTGTCCGACATTGATGAATAAAGCTGAGGTCATTATTTTAACGTTTACGAAATATAATTTATTACGCTTTGTATAAATAACTTGTCCAAGCCAATTTCCGTGACACGAAATTTATTTTTTTAAATAATGATTTGTGTTTATCCAATATTTTTATTTTCTTCAGCAATGTGGTTGTTTTTGCACCTATTCCTATTTGTTTTGTTTGCGTCACTGCTCTACGTTAACCGTCTCTGGCTTTTGTCTTCATGGTGAGCCAGGAAACACTTACAACTAGCACTAAAACTCTTTGTATCGTGGCGTTTTCTTGCAATAGTTGTGTGTGTGTTTGTGGGCAAGGGCCAGATTCACAAATCTCCATCCCTGGTATCACTTTTCCTCTGCCGCTGTAAGGCGTGAGGCCATCACTTTCCACAATATTTAACCAGACTGTCGAGACTAAAGTTAATCCGACCTTTCGAAGTCAGTGGGGTATCTATAAATGGATCTCCGTGGGGGGCGGGGGGTTGTTTGCCCGTGTGGTCCACTCTTGTGTCCACATGCCCCGGGACTATTTTGACTACAACGTACGGCTCGTGGTAATGTATGAAATGTCTCGAATTCCACCGCTCTGCACCAATAGCGTACGCACATAAATACATCTGTCATTCATCAGTCAATGTGCTCGTATGAGTTTTCTCTGCCACGTTGAAAACTCGGGCAACGGGAGTTACTGATCGTGCGGTGAAAATCCAAATTTACAAAATCCTTTTGAGCAAAGGGCCTCAGTTGACCCGGCCACGTAGTTGAGAAACAATTGGATTTACAACATTAGAGCCAATACAGTCGGGTGACACGGGTTGTAGCGCTTACATATCACGGCAAGAATGCGCCTGGGTTCGATTCCCAACATTGAGTGCCTGTGTGGAATGAGCGTTCTCCCTCTGCTCTGCCTGGGTTTCTTCCGGGTTCCCTGGTTTCCTCCCATAGCTGAAAATACCGTACATAAATTATACTTTCAAAATACTGAAAATCAAAATACTGAAAATCTACCGGCACACTACCGTACTCAATTGTTTTTTTGGGGGGGTGAGATCGCGTACATATAAAAATGCGTGGCTAAACCCGTCATCACCCGACACAGCCAATTAATAAGGGTTGGCACGTAAACAGAACATGCCAATTTGTTACTAGTACAGCACACCGGTGTGTTGGAGAGCCAAGCCACAACATTTACAACCTGAGTACTCAATCGCAGTACTCAGATTGTAAACGTGAGTACTCAATCTGAGTCCTTCCTTTCCGTGAAAATATCTGAGTACTCGGATTGTAAATGTGTTGGAGAGCTCTCCAACCGGTGTCCTGTATTCGTAACGAATTGGCATGTTCTGTTCACGTGACAAACCTTACTAATTGGCTGTCGAGAGGTCGTGGGTTTCACCACACATTTATTTAATTACGCGATCTAACCCAAAAAAGCTGTATTATGGATGATATTGGTTGCGAAAGCCTACGTGTTAAAATAAATTTCGATTTAAAGCTTTCGTGACTGCAGGGATTCATCTTCTTGGTTCTTTCGGTAAAGTCACGTAGAAGGGAAATAATTAAATAAAAATAAAACATAATAAAATAATTATCACGACGTTTCGGCCACAACGCAAGCAGCCGTCTTCCCGACAGACCTGTTCTTCACCTGAGGACGGCTGCTTATGTTGTGGCCGAAACGTCGTGAGAATTATTTTATAGTTTTATTTTTATTATTTTATTATTTCCCTTCTACGTTACTTTACCGAAAGAACCAAGAAGGTGTTGAAATAAACCCACATAGAGGCGCATAATCGACTATTTAGATCCAGACTGCCGTAGAGATCCAACGACTCATGTTGTGACCAATAGGCAAATGATGAAAGCAGGCAGTGGTGTTACGATGTGGTCCATGGTTTGAGATTTAGACTCGCACAGAGACCAACAGACTTGCCAAGCGACCCAAAGACTTGCGGAGAGACTAAAAACATTCGTGCAGAGATCCATAGGCGAATGATCGAAGTAGCTAATAGTTTGAGATATAGACAGAAAATCCTGAATCCATCCACTCGCTCACTCGCCAGCCTGGTGATATCTGAAATGATACAGCGTACTATGTGGTTCATAACTTTGAGATACAATATAGACTCACATGGAGTTCTCAAAACATAAACAGGGTCAATCGACCTCACGAGCGTTTGGGTTACCGCGACATACATCTTCACAATCCAATATCCATTTTCCAGATATTTCTATTATCGTGATCTGAGTTTCAAATAACTTTGTAGCTGCCTTTCAGAGGTTTTGTTTCCTGTGCCTTGCTGGACACGGAGACGTCGCGTAGCGCGATTCTGTATAACTTTAAAACGTATAACTTTACCAGCTATAATACAACCTATAATGCTTAGAACACATTTGCAGTCAGTTACCACTCAAAATAATGACTCAATTAATATAACAAAATAAATTGAGGTGCTATAATAGCCATGTTAATATCGTACTCCAGAAAATGTTTCGCAATGCACTGATGTATTAAAGCTTTTGAAAAGCAATTAGAAAGTAATTTGAAACTGATATCGAGATATTCGTGACATCTTCAAAAGTAGATGTAATATTTTTGCCTAAATGATTGAGCTTTATGTCATTTCATATTGTTAGGGAATAAAACGAACACATGTAGCCACGATTATCGCGATGTCACGATGTGTTGGCGAAACCTACGATATGATTATCGTGGACCTTGTATCGGAAGCTATGTCGCAGCAGTATTGTGGCGATTTTAAAAACATCTGAGGCATCATTATCCGCTGTGGTACAGCGCCCCCTAGCGGCCGGCCGCGAGTAATATTTACATTTTCAATCCCGCAATCAATTTGAATGAAGATTCATAACTGATTTTATTCATGGGTTAGGCCATGCACAGGCAATTGCGATTTTGCACCACTGCCAATGCAGCATCACCAACTGATTTGTTTAATCTTACAATTGAGACGATCACGGTCTCTTGAATTCTCCCCCAATTCAACAAATTAACTTGACGAACAAAGCCAAAATTGAAAGACGCTTTATCCCAAAAAATAGTGAAACAGTGCTGGTGAGCAGTAGCTCAGGGATAGAGCCAGCGGCAGCTTTAGTCATGAGCAAAGAGAGGGATCAGTCGATAAGCATGGTCATTTCGCATGAGCTGGAACACATTGCCGGGAGACTGCTTGGAAATTTTGTAATGTGCACAATCTTGAAGAGAGGTCTGAGAGGCACGTGGAACCAGACATGCGAGAAGGCAGCCACGGGGCGAGCAGGTGCTGACAACTGCCCAAGCTCTGCGGCCCTCTATATAGTAAGGTGTTATTGGCCAATTAATGTTTACATGTTGGAGGGAACCAGGGTACTCGGAAAAAAACCGACTGTGAGAGGGGGAAACACTCGATTTCATACAGGCAGTTGTGTCTACATTTTAGCAGTACCACGACCTCTGGGCGAGACAGGGTACGGTACGGGCTCCTCCATGACGCCCACAGGAAAGGAGTTTCACAACATTTGTGCGATCCACCCAACCCTCGCTGCCCAAACAAGTGGTGGATTACAGGCAGCCACGTGCATAGCCGCCACCACCACCACCCAGAGGAGTTCACAATCGCAGTGAGCACAACTTAAAAATGCCCTGCCCGATGTGAGAAAATGCAGCAAACACATTCCTGCGGAGGGAGCTGGTCGGAACGTCGGGTTGCTCGGTCAATGGCTGCAGGGTCAACAGGCGGCGTGGTGTATTCCGCAAATATGTCCGACTGTGAGGGCGGGCACAAGCCGGCGTGAGTAGGTTAAACGTTGAGTTTTATAAGGGCACCACGGGGTGACGAACCCCTCCCCACCCAGCCCCACCCCTCCCACCCCCCACCCAGCCCCTCCCCACCCTCCCCTCCCTGCACGACGGACGGACGGACACAATAATCCCCTGTGGGCTGGTGAAACCAGGAGGTTCCTACCAGTAAAATATTTATTCACTTGACAGATCACTTTCAATGTCATAAACAGCATTAACATTACAGCATTAAAATTGCAATTAACAGTAAACAATGAAGATTGCGTATGTAATTTCACGAAAGGCTCAATGTATATAGGTAAGACCATTTTTGTTCGTCAACTTTTGTACGAGGGTCTTCCCCTCACCCAGCGGGAGGTGGGTGGGGGGGTCATCTAGCTATACCTCACCATGCTGGTGAGAAGTGCAGGTTGAAGGTGTAGAATTTGTAACGTGTAAAGTTGAAGAATGTGTAACGTGCACAGAGTCGCAAGAAACCAGACAAGTAGGAAGGCAGCCAGATAATTGCCCAAGATCCGTGGTCCTATATTTTGATTTTTAACCAACTCCAGCAGCCCATAGCAATTTTTTTGTATGCATGGTGTTCCCTCATTCAAGCAGTATCCAAGGTCAAACCTGCTTAGCTGGGTAATTTGGTCAAAGGCCGTTAGTTTTCATAAATCGCAATAAATTCCTACGCAAATTCTTCAACGCATGTTTAATCTACATGCGTCGATTTTGATCGCTCATTCCACAGGTCATCACATGCTTAATATTCCACAAAACAGCCGTGATGTATGACTCTGTTGCCCTGCGAATCCATCGTGAACATAGCCCCAGACTGAGACTGCGATTCCGGATCGGCGATTCTCCTCCTCTTGTCCTTCGACCGCCAACTTGACGTCATCTCACTCTCCTCCACATCGCAATCGGACGTGACGTTTTCGTCCAGGACTTCCAGGACGCTCCCACGCGCCCGCTCCCGAGAGCGGAACGTTTGCGGAGATCCGTGGCCGCGTCGGACCCTCCGGTGCGCGATCACGCGAGCGCCCTGCGTGTCCTGCGTGAACAGCGCAGCTGAGCCACATTCCGAGTCCTCCCACGACGCGTCTCTCACGGGCTCCGTCCGATCCGACCCACCGTCGCCGCTAAACGTGTTCTCCGAATCGCTAAAGGCATCGGTGGCGGTGACGTCCGGGCGGTCCGGCGCCATACACGGGCCAAACGGACGGGAAACAACCTTGCGCTGTTTTTGGAAATTCTCAGATGACAAGTGTGGATGCGACGCAGATCTCGCTTTCAGCGGAGAGAAGCCGTTGCTGTCTTCCATGTCGACACCGCTGGCGTCAAAGCTGCCGGGCCGACTGGATGAGCCGTTTACATCGCCGGTGGCGTTGCCTTCTCGCCGGTGCGTTTCCGTTCTCACCGGAACAGCAGCGGGGTCACTCGCATTTCCAAACTCTGAGCGAGACTCCGCTACAGGGCAGGCATGATCACCGTCACCATCATCGGGTAACGGCCGCTGAGAGCGGTCGTTAGAGAAAGAGGAGTAAGAACGGCCGCCGAACTCCCGCACGCTGCCAATTTTGTCCGATGCGCCACCATCGCTGTTCCCGTCATTCCATCGTCCGGCAGACGAACAGCTCGGTGCTCGCCAGACGCCATCTCCATCCTCGTGGCAGCTTTCTATAGGACGACAAAATGAAAACGGCACGAGGAATTAGACTGTGTAGGAAACATGACGACTGGGTGTGTAACAATTCAATCACACCTAGCGATTCAATTAATTATCTCGATTCACGGTCTTGATAACAAAAAAATCTTTGCTCAACTGTCGTGTTTTACCCTCTCATTTAAATAGTTCTCATTAATTATCTCTATATATTTGATACTTGGTTCACTCCCCTGTAACATTCGCGCATGATTTAGAATAAAAAAGCAGAATGGGATTAGGGCGAGGGCACCATGCAGAGTTAGGAGCGATTCCAGGTATGCATCGGGGATCCTGTATCAGTCTGTCCAATTCTTGGTAAAATAATTGTGCATTTTGTTTTACTCTAAATGGTTGGTGTAGCAACATTAGCACCTTGCCACCTTGAGCAGGTGCCAACAAAGGTCTCCGAGGCACCATGCCCGACACTGCACCAAGCCAACCGTGGTTAACCAGAAAACTAACCCGGTTCTCCGGCCCCCGCTCCGCTGCTGGTGATGAAGAAAGCCGAGATCCGCGTTTGCCGGGCCCCGGGTCGCGGCACCGGCTCGCCGGCACGTGGGTCAAGCGGCCACTGCGGCGGCGGCCTCTTCCTCCTGCGCTGGGCCGTGTCGATCCACACGCCACAACCGCCGTCCTGAGACGGTGCGGCGAAGGGGCCGCAACGGCCTCGCCACTTACCTGCAACGCAGTACCGCAACAGGGCGCCGTAACACAACCGGCGATGGATAGCCGTTGTTATTTATACGCATTCATTAATGCCCCCTTCACACGTTAAGGGCTCACAAGTGACATCATCACATCTACCCCTCTAAGGAGTGAAACGGTAGGATTTATCCACAAATCTGGCTTTTGCCTGATGAAGCTGGTTGTAATTACTGGCGAAACGTCGTACTTAGATTGTAAATGTTGTGGATTTGCTCTCCGAACACACCGGTGTGCTGTACTAGCAACGAATTGGCACGTTCTGTTTACGTGACAAACATTACTAATTGGTTGTGTCGGGTGGTGGCGGGTTTAACGACACATTTATATTTACGCGGTCTAACCCAAAAAAAACTATATTATGGATGATATTGGTCGCAAAAGCCTACGTGTTAAACCGGGTGCTGCGGTTCAACAAAAGTGGACTGCGAAGGAATCACCAATCTCGCTAATATTAGCCAATCAAACGAAGGGGGCATTGTCACATCATTTATCGATCCATGGATCGATTTGCAATGAATCGACGCACTCCATCGCGCCGATGATAAAATCGGACATGAGCCATAATTTTGATTTATAAGTACAGTATAAGCAAGGACTTTTTTTCATCACGGCGATATAACTACATGAACAAATTAATGTCAAAATGTACGTAAATATTGCACATCAATGCTGTTTTGTACGATCTGTGAACCGCCAAATGTAATTCGTGCTGGTTTTCCACTGGCAACGTGCCGTGCCGAGCCGGCCCCGGAAACCAACCTATGACATGTTGTGCTCACAATTTGGTTTATTTTTATTTTTCTACCCGGGATGGGCTCAATGACCTAAACAGAATTTTTTTTCAAGGGTGGAGGGGACTAAAAAGGAGTGTAAGATAAATAAAAAATGTTAACAATATTCTAGAGAAACAATTTGTAAAGGAATATACATCGCAGCGGAAACGTAAAACGGGAAAGCCGTTCATACATCAGTGAACATTTAATAAAAATCCTGGACACGATGATGCAGTATGCAGCGCAAACCACCTGGAAACCACTCTCCAAATGATAACAAAGACAAGAAAGTCCCCCTATAATAACAAATATGTCAACAAACACACTTCACCCCGTAATTCTTGTGCAGGAAGATTGAGTTTGCAGGTCCATACGGCGTACAGCCGTTTCAATACGGGGCAACAAAAGTGTTGATTTGTTTGTGTTTCTCTCTTGTCGGATAAACGTTGATATTTATAAGGGCACGGGGTGACCAATAAGGTCTGTATTTGTAATAAGTAAAGCACTGATAAGGGTTTGTAATACGCATAATAATTGCATGATATAAAGCCTTAACGATTTAAGGGCCGAGGTGGTGGGTGGCCAGCACCACGCCCGGCCGCCTTTGTCTCCCCAGTGGCGGCGATCTTTACCACACACCGCACCAGGCGCATTCATTTGAGGCAGAGTTGACTTACATAAAAAAAACTCACAGACACACAACACAACACAGAGACACACACAGACAGACAGACACACAGAGACACACACAGAGACACACACAAGAGAGACACACAAGAGAGACACACACAACACACACACAACACAGACACACACAACGCACACACAACACAGACACACACAACACACACAACAGACACACACAACGCACACACAACACAGACACAACACAGACACACACAACGCAGACACACAGACACACACACAACACAGACACACACAACACACACAACACAGACACACACAACACAGACACACACACGACACAGACACACACAACACAGACAATACACAACACAGACACACACAATACACAACAGACACACACAACACATACACACAACACAGACAATACACAGACACACACAATACACAACATACACACACAACACGTACACAGACACACAACACAGACACACACAACACAGGGACACAGCGAGTGTGTGAGTGTCTCTATGAAAGACTCACCGAGCTTCGCCGGCATTCCGCCCCCCTCGTCCCCCTGTGTTGAACTCTACGAAAAAAACAAAAAACAAATTATCGTTTGGGTTTATAAAACCGACGGGAGTGATGTACTAAAGGATCCTCTTAACTCAATGGACTTTAACTCCAAAAAAAAACAATTTTAGTGCTGAAACCTTTTTTACCTCAAATTTTTTAACGATTTTGGCGGGAAACTCAACAACGGGGGAGGGGGCGGGGCAAGGTCCGCTTCGCCCCTCCCACTTCCCGACACTGCACCCGAGTGCCGCACGAAACGTCGTCGACAAAGTTTGACAACAACAGTAAGTAGAACCCGCGAGTTTAAAGATTAAACATTACACTTTGCGTTGCACGACAAGAGGGGAGTGGTCGAATGTCGCTTCACAACTCAACTCTGCCCTCGGGGCTTTTTTTTAAAAAGGGATATTACCCGAAACGTCGTTTAGTAACAGATATACCCACCCCCCGCCGCCTGTTAAAGCCACACGCCACCGCTGTGATTGTTTAAAATAAAGTGGCGTAGATTGTTCGTCTTCATATCTCACGCGGCAAGCCGAGAGCCTGGGGCCGTCCGCCCGTGGGGCGCTTTGCGAATGTACAGCGAGGTGAGCCGGGGGGGGGGGGGTCAGAGATGTCCGGCACGTGGTGTGTGACGTGAGTGTGACACGTGCTGTGTGTGTGTGACACGTGTTGTGTGTGACACGTGTTGTGTGTGTGATACGTGTTGTGTGTGTGACACGTGTTGTGTGACACGTGTGTGTGTGTGTGACACGTGTGTGTGTGTGTGACACGTGTTGTGTGTGTGTGACACGTGTTGTGTGTGTGTGACACGTGTTGTGTGTGTGTGACACGTGTTGTGTGTGTGACACGTGTTGTGTGTGTGTGACACGTGTTGTGTGTGTGTGACACGTGGTGTGTGTGACACGTGGTGTTGGCGTGTGTGTGTGACACGTGTTGTGTGTGTGACACGTGGTGTTGTGTGTGACACGTGGTGTTGTGTGTGACACGTGGTGTTGTGTGTGAAACGTGGTGTGTGTGTGTGACACGTGTTGTGTATGTGTGTGTGACACGTGTTGTGTGACACGTGGTGTGTGTGACACGTGGTGTGTGTGACACGTGGTGTGTGTGACACGTGTTGTGTGTGTGACACGTGTTGTGTGTGTGACACGTGTTGTGTGTGTGACACGTGGTGTTGGCGTGTGTGTGTGACACGTGTTGTGTGTGTGACACGTGGTGTGTGTGACACGTGGTGTGTGTGTGTGTGACACGTGTTGTGTGTGTGACACGTGGTGTTGGCGTGTGTGTGTGACACGTGTTGTGTGTGTGTGACACGTGGTGTGTGTGACACGTGGTGTGTGTGACACGTGGTGTGTGTGACACGTGGTGTGTGTGACACGTGGTGTGTGTGTGTGTGACACGTGGTGTGTGTGTGTGTGACACGTGGTGTGTGTGTGTGTGTGACACGTGTTGTGTGTGTGTGTGACACGTGTTGTGTGTGTGTGACACGTGTTGTGTGTGTGTGACACGTGGTGTGTGTGACACGTGTTGTGTGTGTGGCACGTGGTGTGTATGACACGTGTTGTGTGTGTGTGATACGTGTTGTTGGTGTGTGTGACACGTGTTGTGTGTGTGACACGTGTTGTGTGTGTGACACGTGGTGTTGTGTGTGACACGTGTTGTTGTTGGTGTATCGAGGGCGGGCGGGCGCGACATTGCGTGAGGTGGCGCGCGTTGGAGAGTTGCCGCCCTGCCTCGGACGTCTGCTGGACGTCGAGAAGGGCAACCCTCAGCCGCCACTGCGTCTAGAGCTGCCAGTGTGAAGCTGCGTGTGAGTGTGAGAGACGGGGTGAGTGTGAGAGAGCGGGTGAGGGTGTGTGAGTGTGAGAGAGTCCGTGTGTGAGAGAGTTCGTGTGTGAGAGAGTGTGAGTGAGAGATGTTGTGACTGTGAGAGAGCGGGTGAGGGTGTGTGAGTGTGAGAGAGTCCGTGTGTGAGAGAGTTCGTGTGTGAGAGAGTGTGTGAGTGTGAGTGAGAGATGTTGTGACTGTGAGAGAGCGGGTGAGAGAGTGTGTGAGTGTGAGAGAGTCCGTGTGTGAGAGAGTCCGTGTGTGAGAGTGTGAGAGAGTGTGTGAGTGAGAGGTGTTGTGAGTGTGTGTGAGTAAGAGTGTGTGAGTGAGTGTGAGAGAGTGGGTGAGTGTGAGTGAGAGAGTGGGTGAGGGTGTGTGAGTGGGTGAGTGAGAGAGTGTGTGAGTGAAATAGTTTGTGAGTGTGTGTGAGTAAGAGAGTTTGTGAGTGTGAGTGAGAGAGTGTGTGTGTGAGTGTGAGAGAGTGTGTGAGTGAGTGTGAGAGAGTGGGTGAGTGTGAGTGAGAGAGTGGGTGAGGGTGTGTGAGTGGGTGAGTGAGAGAGTGTGTGAGTGAAAGAGTTTGTGAGTGTGAGTGAGAGAGTGTGTGTGTGAGTGTGAGAGAGTGTGTGAGTGAGTGTGAGAGAGTGGGTGAGTGTGAGTGAGAGAGTGGGTGAGGGTGTGTGAGTGGGTGAGTGAGAGAGTGTGTGAGTGAAAGAGTTTGTGAGTGTGTGTGAGTAAGAGAGTTTGTGAGTGTGAGTGAGAGAGTGTGTGTGTGAGTGTGAGAGAGTGTGTGAGTGAGTGTGAGAGAGTGGGTGAGTGTGAGTGAGAGAGTGGGTGAGGGTGTGTGAAGTGGGTGAGTGAGAGAGTGTGTGAGTGAAAGAGTTTGTGAGTGTGTGTGAGTGAGAGAGTGTGTGTGTGTGTGACAGTGTGTGAGTGTGATTGAGCGAGTGCGGCTACGTTCACAACACCACCAACACCCGCTTTCCGTTAACGTGACGATTTAATCAGAAATCCTCACCACTTGTTCGGGAGGTTTTAAACTTCCACGTTGGACACTGCCGAGGACAGCCAGGCTCGACGTCGCCTCTCCGGTGAGTGGCATCGATCCTAGTGGATTTGATCATCTGGGCTGATGTATACAAAGCTGATAATTGTTTTTTTACCCTTCTATCTGGCAACAAAACTGACAGATAGAAGGGTAAAAAAAAAACAATTATCATATTTTTACTGGCAAATGAGGTTCCAATGGTGTATGCAAAGCTGTCAACCCACATGACGCTTCATCACCCCGTATTCTTGTACAAGGAAATTGAGTTTTCAAGTCCATACAGCGGTACAGCCGTTTCAATACGGGCAATTTTTTTAAATGTTTGTGTTTATTTGTTTGTGTTTCTCTCCTTGTGATGGGACTTTGTGGGATGAACGTTGAGATTTGTAAGGGCACGCAGGGGTAACCAATAGGGTCTGGATTTCGATTTAAAGCTTTCGTGACTGCAGGGATTCAGTCTTCTTGGTTCTTTCGGTAAAGTCACGTAGAAGGGAAGTAATAAAATAATAAAAATAAAACATAATAAAATAATTCTCACGACTCGGTCTTATCGACAGACCTGTTCTTCACCTGAAGACGGCTGCTTGCGTTGTGACCGAAACGTCGTGAGAATTATTTTATTATGTTTTATTTTTATTATTTTAGTACTTCCCTTCTACGTGACTTTACCGAAAGAACCAAGAAGACCAATAGGGTCTGGATAGGTTTGTAATAAGGTTGACATGTATGTGGTTATGATTATGAATGTTTACGTACAAGTCCTGCTTGTCAATCCACTGCTGGATGAGGAGCCCCCCCCCCCCACGCACATGGGGGGGGGGGGTGGCATGGGACCACAGCAAGGTTCAGAATTCATTCACCACGCGTAGATACAAAAACAACTCGTTGAGCCACACGGGGCCGTCCATAAATGACGTCACGCACCTGGGGGGGGGGTCAGACATTTATGACGATGTGTGACGAGGGGGGGGGGAGAAATGTGACGTCACATCAAAATGCACAACTTTAAATAAGTATATAATTGTTCTAACATCACTAATTGTTATTACAACACTCCTACAACATCAGAGTGCAGCGCCACATTAAACACGCACTACAACGACAATAGTTTAAAGCGATTTGAAGCATTTTTTATTTTCAAAATGGAAATATGTTTTTGGGGGGGGAGGGGGGCAGAGCTTTGTGACGTCATATTTGAGGGGGGTCTGATTTTTTGTGACGATGGGGGGGGGGGGGGGGTCAAAAATCGTCCAAAACCGCGTGACGTCATTTATGGGTGGCCCTACACGCGTGGGGCGATTATGATGCCCGTGGTCGAGTCTTTGGTCATTGGGCCCCATGCAGAGGTCGCAAACGGGTTTTGATTCCTTACCCGTACCCGGCCGCACCAGGGTCGCAAATGGGTACCCGTACCCGGCTGGGTACGGGTACCCGTTCCCTACCCGTACCCTACCCGAAATGAGTGACAAACAGTGACTCACGACCTACCCGTACCCGGCCGCACCAGGGTCGCAAACGGCTACCTGTCCCTGTACCCGGCTGGGTACGGGTATCGGGTAGGGTACGGGTAGCCGGTTGCGACCTCTGGCCCCATGTCGTCAGATCTCGGAAGCTAAAGCAGGATTTTGAGATTGGGTCACCCGGTGGTTGTGGCCACTGCGCACGTGGCCCGCTAACCATCACTGTGGAGGCAGCGAGCGGGGAGGTTGGTGGATCACCGCACAGATGGGTGTCGAGGGAGGTGCCGTACTCTGGCTCGCCAGAGGGCAGTAACAGCAAGTGGACTAATCGCCATCTGTTGCCATCTGTACGGGGATCGAGAGTTGCTCGCGTGAGTTTTTTCCGGGCGCTCCGAATTTGTTTTGTTTTATTCCCCACTTTGTACGGCATAATAAGCACCCGTCGTTAATTCGGTGAAGGTATCTTAACGTAACAACCCAGTGTTGCAGGACCCTCCTGAAAAAGAGCCCTGAGTGTGTGGCTTTCCTCGATACATAACTCGCCATCAGGTTTGGTTCACTCGATCACCACTGCGGAGATGCGTGGTGAGCAACAGATGGCAAATGCTGGACTGTGCAATACAGGGACTCCTCTACTTACGAACATTCGACTTACGAACTTTCCGAGATACGAACAAACCTGTCCGTCCGTATGTCCAGTTGCCTGTTCGGACCGAGAGTCGTAAGTTCAACCACCGCGCAATAGATGGCGGTGGTGGCATCTACATCTGCAGAACGTGAAGCACCAGTGGCATCTACAGGACATTATGCAACTTTTACTGGTAGGAACCGCCAGGTTACACCAGCTCACAGGGGATTATTGTGTCCGTCCGTCGTGCAGGGATGGGCTGGGTGGAGAGGGGAGGGTGGGGAGGGTGGGGCTGGGTGGGGAGGGGAGAGGTGGGGAGGGGCTGGGTGGGGAGGGGCTGGGTGGGAGGGTGGGGCTGGGTGGGAGGGGTGGGGGGGCTGGGTGGGGAGGGGCTGGTCACCCCTGTGGTGCCCTTATAAAACTCAACGTTTAACCTACTCACGCCGGCTTGTGCCCGCCCTCACAGTCGGGCATATTTGCGGAATACACCACGCCGCCGTTGACCCTGGCCATTGACCGAGCAACCCAACGTTCCTACTAGCTCCCTCCGCAGGAATGTGTTAAAGCCATCCCCCGTGTTTAGTGTACATGGCGCACAACGTGGTTGGAATCGACGGGAGTAAAGTTGGACTTACGAACAAATCGACTTACGAACAGACCTCTGGAACCTCACTCGTTCGTAAGTAGTCCATGTACTTCTATGCTCCCACCGCGTGATTCCTTTCCGCCTTGGCCCACCCGCCCCTTACTGACCAGCGTGGTGAAGTATGGTCAAATAATCCCCTTCCCCGCCCCCCCCCCCATGACACGCACGGCGTGGGGAGGCCCTCTCATCCATCAGTGGATGAACACACGTCACGCCGATTAGTGTGGGTTGGTGAAGGCCGGTAGCATAGAGAGTGCAGTAATGTACACCTGTGGAGTTGTTTGCACTGCTACCCACCACACAGCCCCCAACGCAATATAAATACAAATTGTGTAGCATTGTTGCGATCGATTTTCTGTCGGTTGAAATTAAATTGTGGTGAGTTATTGTGATGGTGGTTTACCCAGGAAAGGCTCGCTGACGAGTGAGCCTTGCTGTTGCTCTGTGTGTAATCCCAATTCGATTACGGTTATTTGCGGGTAATGTTTCAGCATTACGAGAATTTGGCCCAATTATTACTGTGTTTGGTCACCGAAGTTTGGTTTCAAAGTACATCGGGGCCACGTGGCTATGATGATCAGGGACAGCCGATAAAGTGACAAGTCCACTTTCCAGGGTCACATGGTTGCCAGGTGTGGTTCACCGCCCTGTGAATTCCCACCCTCCCCTTGGTTAAAACTAAAACAAGTACGATGGTTCACGCACTGCAATTCCAACTAACTAGCGTGGTGAAGTATGAACAAACAGCCAGCTGTGACCGACCGTGGAGGTCGTCATCCAGCAGTGGATTGGCAAAGAGTTTAAAATGATTAAATTGTGGTTATTTCAGCCTTTGTTCCGGTTTGTTGTGCGTGGGTGTCCAAGTTTCTGATCCGTCACGGTGGTGAATATGCACTGATTGAACACTTTCCTTTTGGGGAACATTGATATTTTACTTTTCAGTGTTACAGAAGCACATCGTCTGGCTCGGATTTGCCTATTTCTTCATACCATTGATCCCGATCTTCATTCGATAATTGCCTTCAGTTAATAACAGTAATCATAATTTACTTACCCAGGAGAGTCACACTGAGTCATAAGCACTCTTTTTTTTACTAAGGGGTCCTGCTGCTGCATTGTGTTGTTGTTTTAAGATGTTTTCAGCCAACTAATGACGCGTGTTTATTATACAAGTGAGAGGAAATCGGAGTAAACGCGCGCGCGCGAGGGAGCACTTCATCCCCGTACAGATGGCCACAGATGGCGATTAGTCCCTTTGCTGTACTGCCGGGTCCTACGTTTTTTTCCCCTCCACATGTATAAACATGCGTCTGGAGTTTCGATTTAAAGCTTTCGTGACTGCAGGGATTCATCTTTTTGGTTCTTTCGGTAAAGTCACGTAGAAGGGAAATAATAAAATAATAAAAATAAAACATAATAAAATACTTCTCACGACGTTTCGGCCACAACGCAAGCAGCTGTCCTCAGGTGAAGAAACAGGTCTGTCGAGAAGACAGCGTCAGACCTGGTCTCCACCTGAGGACGGCTGCTTGCGTTGTGGCTGAAACGTCGTGAGAATTATTTTATTATGTTTTATTTTTATTATTTAATTATTTCCCTTCTACGTGACTTTACCGAAAGAACCAAGAAGATGCGTCTGGAGTGTTTGACTGCTGCTATAATTCTCCACGTGATGATGACAAACCACTTCGTTGTTGGGCTATCATTTGTTATAGCCAGGTCACACAGCTCATTGTGGGGCCTTATCTGATAAGTTGTTTAGTTATCTTGAACCCAATTTTGCAGCCTTCGATGTTTCGTTCGTTCGTAGGTTCCTCTTATCGCGATTGACTGCGACGTGTCCACATCACCTCGGGCAGAACGAGATTTCACTCGGCGATTTTCTTTTCTGTCATAGCCAGCGACGCTTTCAAATGAGGCTGGACTTTTTTCGGCAGCCGCGGAACGCGACGTGACCGGAATTGCAAGCGCCACGGATGGAATCCCGCGAGTCACCCACATAGCAAGACCATATTGAGATAAAACAGAAATGTAAAAAAATGCAAAAAGACTCAAGACCACCGTCAAACAGATTCCTGTGGAGGGAGCTGGTAGGAACGTTGGGTTGCTCGGTCAATGGCCAGGGTCAACGGCGGCGTGGTGTATTCCGCACAAGCCGGCGTGAGGAGGTTAAACGTTGAGTTTTATAAGAGTACCACGGGGTGACCAGCCCCTCCCCACCCAGCCCCACCCCACCCAGCCCCACCCTCCCCACCCAGCCCCTCCCCACCCTCCCCACCCCCCACCCAGCCCAACCCCTCCCTCCCACCCCCCACCCAGCCCCACCCTCCCCACCCAGCCCTCCCCACCCAGCTCCTCTCTCCACCCAGCCCCTCCCCACCTTCCCCTCCCCACCCAGCCCCACCCTCCTCTCCCCACCCAGCCCCTCCCCACCCTCCCCTCTCCACCCAGCCCCACCCCTCCCATTTTTTGATGCACGACGGACGGACGGACACAATAATCCCCTGTGGGCTGGTGTAACCAGGAGGTTCCTACCAGTATAACCACATTACAATCCACCGCCGGATGAAGGCCTCTCCAATCCATTATAATACGTATCACCACACTTGTCATCCCTACCGATTGAAGCGGTAGATCGGCTTCCGATTTTAAATCCTTTTTGAATGGTTGTCGTGGGCTAGGTGATTTTCAGAGCAAAGGGAGAGAGAAAAAAGAATTGCATTCAAAAAGTTTGATGTCACAGATCATTGCAGAGTGGTGGGACTGCCTTCAGAAGTCTGTTCGGCGATAGGGTTCAAACCACTGCTGGGTGGTCACGGGAAATCAAGTAACCTGCGATCCATGTGAACCCCTGACCTGAGTTGGATTACCTCCCACGGCCACCAACACCAGTGAGGATGTTCTCAACCGGTCCTGGGCCTCCCCTAGGTCGACTCGGCCTCAAATGAGTACCTGGTGCGATGTTTAAACGTCACCACTGGGGGAGACAAAGGGGGCCGGGCGTGGTGCTGGCCACCCACCCCCCCCCCCTTGTGTAGTTCCGGCCTTCATAGGTGCTGCTCGCTAACAGCACTTGGCCCAACAGCCTGTTAAGGCTTTACTGCGCATAACTTGGCAGACGTGCGCTGCCTCATCAAGCGTCGTCACTCTGACACGTGGCCAGAACTGCTCTAACCGGTTTGGCAGTGTCATTGACATGCTCACCATCGGGTATTTTCACCGAGTTACCGGGTAAGCAAAGCCTTTGTAGAGCGCATGCGATGTTCAACAACTACAACAAAAACACCCGACAGTGTAGAGACGATATACATGGATTAACGAGAACAACGCAAGCATCGATGAGCTGATGTGTGCAGCTCAAGGAACGGAACGTGTCGGAGGGTACGTCCGCCGTGAAGACGGAGCGATGAAATCGAGTCATGTGCGGATGCCGGTTGGATCGTCACGTCGTGGGGCCATGAGTGGTGCCGACGGCGGTGGCTTGGAGAGGCCTTCATCCAGCAGTGGAGTGTCCATGGCCTACAGTTGTGACGATTAAACAGCTGGAGACGGCTGTCTTCATTTTTTTCCACTTCATCTCAGCTGTTCGTACGCTTTCGGTAAGAGTTGGCAGTGTGGTTGTAGTGGGCTGGGTGGTTGTAGTGGGCTGGGTGGTTGTCGTGGGCTGGGTGGTTGTAGAGGGCTGGGTGGTTGTAGTGGGCTGGGTGGTTGTCATGGGCTGGCTGGTTGTAGTGGGCTGGGTGGTTGTAGTGGGCTGGCTGGTTGTCGTGGGCTGGGTGGTTGTAGTGGGCTGGGTGGTTGTAGTGGGCTGGGTGGTTGTAGTGGGCTGGGTGGTTGTACTGGGCTGGGTGGTTGTAGTGGGCAGTTGGTTCGTGGATCTGCGGGGTCTTTACACCGACGCTGCCTGTTGAGCAAAGCCCGCATCCCGCACGGTGCTGCCCCACTGCTGCTGCCGCTGCGGCCGCTGTTGGCCGAGTGAGATTCTGGAAGTGCTGACAGCCGCCGGTGCCTTCAGCAAATAATGCGTCGTGGTAATCGCGCGCACTCCTGAAAGCGGTTCGTACGACACGATCCACGGCACCTTTCTCACACCGCGGCAGGCAATCGATTTCGGGCCGAGCCGACCTCCGGGCATGCCCACGACCGCTTCAGATCTCGCCCCCGCCACCGACGGGCACGGCCGCCGTTGCTGGCCGGCGGAAGCCGAGACGCGTTCGTGCGTAGACGACGCGAAAGCACGTTGGTGCTGGCGTGCTATGCGGAGGGCCGTCGCCTGGAACGTCGCCGGTTATATATTTATTTTGGGGATATTTTGTTGTGCAGCACCGCCAACGCAGAAGCGTCGCCCAAATAAAAATAGTATTTATGGCGCACACTTTGTTCCCTGAGAGCGTGAAAGTCGAGCGTGCGTGACACCCCCCCCCCCCTCGCCATCACGGAGGACACAACATGCCCTCCCTCCCCCCGACGACTATCTCATTAATGTTTAGCCAGAGGCAGCGCGAACTCAAAGTTTCTTCCGCTCCTCCTGCTGCTCCCCCTCCCCCCCCGTGTTGTTTTCTTTCATTTCTTTGTGGCAGCGTCGGACGCGAGGCACGAGCAGAATAACGCGGCCGAGTGACGGCCGGGACGCCCAGAGTGAGAAGGCGCTTGGCGGAACGTGGTGCGTACAATAGCAGAGCGCGTAGAGTGGCACGGTGCGTGGGGTGACACAACACTTAGAGTGAGACACGGTGCGTACAATAGCAGAGCGCGTAGAGTGGCACGGTGCGTTGGGTGACACAACACTTAGAGTGAGACACGGCGCGTAGTGTAACAGAGCGCGTAGAGTGGCACGGTGCGTGGGGTGACACAACACTTAGAGTGAGACACGGCGCGTAGAGTAACAGAGCGCGTAAAGTGGCACGGTGCGTGGGGTGACACAACACTTAGAGTGAGACACGGTGCGTAGAGTAACAGAGCGCGTAGAGTGGCACGGTGCGTGGGGTGACACAACACTTATAGTGAGACACGGTGCGTAGAGTAACAGCGCGTAGAGTGGCACGGTGCGTTGGGTGACACAACACTTAGAGTGAGACACGGCATGTAGAGTAACAGAGCACATCTAGTGGCACGACACATAGACTAATGCGGTGGTAGAGCCACATGAGACTTAGTAAGACAGCACCTCGAGTTACACTTGAGAGTGACACATTGCTTAGATTGGCACACTGCGTAGAGTGACACGCACTGCGTAGAGTGACACGCACTGCGTAGAGTGACGCACGGCGTCCCGGTCGCGAACTCGGCTTAATAACGCAGCTCGTTGCCGCCTGCCATCTCCTAGCCCAGGATGAGCACCGGGAGGTGACGGCGGTCGCGCCGGTGGAGGGAGATCGGCTGTTTGTGCGGCGGCGCCGGCGGCGTGGGATGGACGCCCCTAATCGGCTCGAGCCGCAGGACGACGGGCGCGGCGACGGCGCCGAGCGCTTCATCCTAGGCGCCGACGTGGGCACCACGACGCTGCGCTGCCACGTCTACGACGCGAACGCGAGGATCAGGGGCAGCGCCAGCAGCGAGGTGAGCGCGAAAGCCGTCGGACTTCGCTCCCCCCACCGCCCGCCCGCTGTGGCTGCGCTGGTCTGCTTGCGGCGTTAATTCACATTTAAAATTTGGACGTTTCACGTGGATCACACTGGTCAACACACTTTTTCTGGCATAAGGTATTCCAACGGTTTGAATGTAATTTTGGGGTGCTGATTCCAAATCTGGCATCAGTTTTTGTCTATCACATCAGGTTTTTGAGATATCAAATATTGCATTTTCAATAAAAACTGCAGAAGAAAAATATTAAATAAATGTGGATTTCTACATAAAATGATATTATAAACACACTATCCTAAAAATACAGCACCATATTTAAACACTAAAGCAGTCACTGACTCGCAACAACTTGTGACAGATTTAATTTCGGGTAAAATGAATGAAAATGGGGTATGCCGATAGCATAAAAATGAGATGTGATAGAGCAAATTTGAGATCAGATTTGGAATCAGAACCCTGAAATTAGTCTAAAACATTTGCAAAAGTCCAGTCCAGATTTTTTTTTTGTTGACCAGTGTTATCGAATTGACCTCAGGAACTAGTTCTGTGATGTTATCTTCCAATGCCACCGACAGATAACAGGTCCGAGGTCTGACGAGATTTTGGAGGGCGCGTTGCGACAGATTTGATCGTAGGGGCTTGAAACCAGCGAGATAAAAAAAAGGCGCACAAGCGTGAATTACCGTACCGCTGCCTCGGCAGCGTTAACGATCGTCACGAGCAAGGCGCCAGTGACCGACCCCACACAAGAACTTCTGGGGCTCAACCTACCCAGGAAAACTCAGGCCCTGTTAGTTCAGCCGGCAGGGCCACGGTCAGCTCAGCAGCTCTGTCACAAGGACGGCCACGGCCCAAGACCGTCGGATAACGGTGGCAGCTACCGGACATCGCAGGTACACAGAGACCCACAGAGTTACATCGGGGTAACATAAAGGCTCATAGACCGCAGCCTAGGACTATCAGGTAGTGGTAGCGGTTGCAGGTAATTATCGTGTGGATGTGCAAATTAAGCAGAGCAACCAACGACAACGAAATGACTTGCACACTAAGCTCACGTCAGAACTCATTGCAAGCAGGATAAATAATGAATAGCGTCACAGAAGACGCGTGCAAATAAACCGTGCGTGCAGCCTCAGACATAACAGACCTTGGTCACAGCATTCATAGCGATAGCGGCAGAGGTGATCTTGCAGCACGGCCTTAACACAGACACGTGGCCGGAGAAGGTCGATGTGGAATCTTGTTAGATTGGCCTACGAGGACATTATGAAGTTGTGGTCGACCACAAACCACTGCCAGAAGATTGTAACGTCATGCCTTGCGCAATGTGTAGAAAAAGGACATTGAGCCCGTATGGTAACTTTAAAGACTTTAATTAAGGAGTTCTCAGGACAGTGATTAGTTCACACAAAAAAGCTCAAGTGATGCCATTGCTCTTGGTCCATGCAGTAAGTGACGCTCCGTCATGCCCTACTGCTTGTCCTTACATGTGGTAGTGCAGCGCTTAGCCTCAAATGAGTACCTGGTGCGATGTGTAAACATCGCCACTGGGGAAACAAAGGCGGCCGGGCCTGGTGCTGGCCACCCCCCTTGTGCCCTTCCAGCCTTCATAGGTGCTGCTCGCTAACAGCACTTGTCCCCAACAGTCAGTTAAGGCTATACAGCGGATCTTTGTCTTTGTACTTGAATATGCATGAGCACACCTCAAATGCACCATGTCGTATCGCACCTATATCAATATACATGACCATGCTGCACGTCACAGAAGAGAGCACAGCAGATGTGGTCACCCCCCCCCCCGCACCGATGGAAAATTAAGAACAGCAGTCAACGACGTGACCTGCTACGGTCACCAGAGCCAGGCCACGGCGAGCAAACGTGGAGGTGAATCCTCCTGGTTGTTGTCTCCACGTTTTTCTGGCACTGACCCGTTGTTCGGTTTCCCAGTTTTCTCGTGGGTCGAGTCCCGAACAGCAACGCAACTTTTGACAACGTAACTTTTGTCGTTTTGTTCGCGCTATTGGGTCAGCTTTGTGAGGATTATCGCAACTCCGCCCCCACCCCATTAGAGAGAGCAGACAGACAGATGGACGGACAGACTGACAGACAGACACATTCAGACGGACAGATGGAGAGATGGACAGAGAAACGGACGGACAAAAAAACACACGAACAGACAGACACACACGTTTGACAGACGGACGGACATTCAGATGGACGAACAGACAGACGGATAGTCAGACAGATAAACGGACAGACGAACATACAGATACACGACGGGCAGACGCACAACGGGCAGACGCCAGCCAGGCAGAAGGAACGCAAGTGACGCTTCCAGCATTGGTAGCGGAGCGCCGGAGGAGGAGAAAGAGGGGGGGGGATGGTAACGTGCTGCTCCGTGTTGGGCAGATCAAGCTGCTGTACCCATCGACGGGCGCCGTGGAGCTGGATCCCGACGCGCTCTTCTGCCAGTTCGTGGACGTCACGCGGCGCGCCATGGCAGGTACGTGGCCGCCCGGGCCGCGGTGCCTGCTGGGAGGTTCGTTGGAAGTCGCGAGGCGACGGCTGACGGCGCCACTCTGCGAGCCCCGCCGCTGCTGGACGAAGGCCTCCCGCGCGCCGTGGCGGTTGCTTGACCGTACTATACCGCACTGGGGTTTGGGTGGGGGGGGGGGCGGTGGTGGTTTAGGACCGATTCGGCTGTCGCCCGCCGCCGATGGTTAGCCACGGCCGGGAATCGAACTCGGGTAGCCGGGTCCGTGGCGTAGTGCGCGCTAACCGCTGCGCCGCCACTCTACGTGTGTATATCATCGTCGTCGTAAGTCACGATCCGTCCTCTGCCGGATGAAAGCTACCCCAAGCCCATCGCCCTCTCTTACAACCCGCCTGGCACATGGAACAGTGCACCTAGAGCCCGCTTCTTTCCGGTGCTGTTGTCTCCTCCCTGACCCCTGACCCCCGATCCCCGACCCCTGACCCCCGTGCCATCCACACAGATGCTGGCGTGGAGGCAGCACAGGTGTTGGGCCTCGGCATCTCCACACAGAGGGCGACGTTCACCACCTGGCACAGGTAGCAGCAACCCCTGATGCGAGGCCTCACCCTGACCCTAAAACTGACCCTAAAAACCCCAACCCTCACCGGGACCTTAAAAACCCTAACCCTCACCATGTCCCTAAACATTAACCCTCACCGGGACCTTAAAAACCCCAACCCTCACCATGTCCCTAAACATTAACCCTCACCGTGACCCTAAAAACCCCAACCCTTACCATGACCTTAAAAACCCCAACCCTTACCGTGACCCTAAACCCTAACCCTCACCGTGACCCTAAACATTAACCCTCACACTAAAAACCCCAACCCTTACCATGTCCCTAAACATTAACCCTTACCGTGACCCTAAACCCTAACCCTCACCGTGACCCTAACCCTTGACTCTGACACGAACAAATAAAGGTCAGAGTGAGTTCCTGCTCAGATGAGCATTGAGGCGTTGGTGCTCTCCTCCCAGTGTACAGCCCTGCCTGAGCCACTGGTGGAAATTCCTCATTCCCACGGCAGGGCATGTCTATCCAGAGGACAAACACTGTTGACTTCCTCACAATAAACATTGTGGGGCCGAGTTGATTCCCCCGAGAGTCGACTTCCCAACTCGAGGACTTGCCGATTGTGAGCCGCTGTCCCCCCCCCCCCGCTGCCGAGTCACCTGGCCGGATGATCAGTTGCCGGTAAAACCCTCGACTCCACCCCTCCCCCACCGCTAGGCAGACGGGGAAACCGTTCCACAACTTCATCAGCTGGCAGGACCTGCGCGCCTCCGAGCTGGTGGAGTCCTGGAACCACTCGTTCACGCTGCAGGTGAGCGGCAGCGGCGGTGGCGGAGAAGTGCCGATGGTGCACGGTGAGAGTGGCGACTCGTCATTTTGCTCGCTCGTGCGTACGTGGGCGCCGTTAGACTTTGGAATTGAACGGCTGAATTCCCACCCTGCGGTGTCCTGTGACTGTCGCCCTCCCCCCCCTCCGGCCCCCCCGGCTCCCCCCGCCCCTCCCCCGGTAGAGCGTGCACGGCCTCTTCAAGCTTCTCCACTCGGTGACGCGGCACAAGCGCTTAAAGGCGGCGAGCGTCATCAACTTCAGCACTCAGCACGTCACCATGCGCCTCATGTGGGTGCTGCAGAACATCCCGGCGGTGAGCGAGGGCCGCTCGCAAGGAGGCCGGGGGCCGGGGGGGCGGCCGGAGGAGGGGGGGCGATATCGGTGGTCACCGGGGGCCTCCGGACGCTGCGCCCTATCGCATCAACTGCCGACACAAAGGGATTTGGGCCCAGAGGTCGCAACCGGGTACCCGATACCCGTACCCTACCCGATACCCGGCTATCCGTACCCGGCCAGGTACGGGTACGGGTAGCCAGTTTGCGACCCTGGTGCGGCCGGGTACGGGTACGGGTAGGCCGTGAGTCACTGGTGAGTATCCGTTTGTCACTCATTTCGGGTAGGGTACGGGTAGGGAACAGCTACCCGTATCCGGCCGGGTACGGGTACCCATTTGCGACCCTGGTGCGGCCGGGTACGGGTAAGGAATCAAAACCCATTTGCGACCTCTGCTTGGGCCTCATGTTCTAAGCCACGACTCGGCTCTTGGCTCTGGCTCTAGCTCAAGTGAGTCGGCTTAAAGCCATGCTGAGCTTGAGCCGGCTCTGAACATGATTCCCAGCCGCGCTCCCAAGCCATGGCCGAGCTGCTCTCATGCATCTTTGAAAGCAGTCGGAGCGGCTCAGGCCTGAGCTGAATCAAGAGCCGAACTCCAGACCTTCGTTCGAAACCTCGGAGTAATAACGTTTTAGAATTGGTAAAGAGCAGTTTTTATTGTTCACTCTCAAGAGTGCGGGAGATTGATTCAGAGGCACGGGAAACCACAGACAGATCAGGATACAACAATTTCCCAATCTCTGTGGTCCTATATTGGAATGTTCGGTCAACTCGATTAGTGAGTGTACATGAATACTGGGCATGTGGCGGTGAGACTGGCCCTTGCTGGAGGATGAGAGGTGCTCTGTGTGTGTGTGTGTGCGTGTGTCTGTTGAACTTCTTAATCAGGTGCTACTCGATGACAGCACTTGCCCCAACACTCTGTTAAGGCTATACTGGGGATCTTTGTCTTGTTTGTGCAGGTGCAGGAAGCGTCGCAGGAAGGCAACTGCTGCCTCGGCACCATCGACACGTGGCTGCTGTATCGACTGACGGGAGGTAGAGTCCGGCAACGCACGGTTAACCACCACGTTACAACCACACGCACTGGAGGGCCACGTGCCATTAGCGAGTAGCACCGATGAAGGCCGGCACAGCACACGAGGGGGGTGGATGCCCAGCACGACGCCCGGCCTGCCTGCAAGCATATCCGATTAGCACGGTTGGCTATGTACAGGCGCGAAGGAAGTTCAGCGTACACACGCGCACACACACTGAGCATTTCTCATCCTCCAGCATGGCCCAGTCTCACCGCCACATGCCCAGTATTCATGCACACTCACTAATGGAGTTGACCGAACTTCCCAGAACAGGACCACAGAGATTGGGCAATTGTTGTGTCCTGATCTGTCTGTGGTTTTCCCGTGCCTCTGAATCATCAAGTGGCGAGTGACGTCTCAACGGAATCTTCCCACACCCATCACCACCACTAGCCAGCATGGTAAAGTCTGGTCAAACGACCCCCCATGGCCGACGTGGTGTTTATCCTTCAGTGGTTTGATGAAGAGCTTTAAACGAATGGTTAAATGAATTGTTAGCTGTGTGGGTATGTTTGCTTGTGCGACGTCACCACCATTCAGTGGTTGCTGTTTCTGCTGTGCTCTGTTTGCAATGGGTGGTTTCATTTCCCAGGACAAGTCTACGCCACCGATTACTCCAACGCCAGCTCCACGGGAATCTTTGACCCTTACCAGGTATTGAGACCAGCCAGCAAGCCACGGTCTGTGCACGTGTGTGTGTGTGTGAGACTGCTGTGCCTCGGAGTGGGTTAGCGGTAGTGCAGCGGCTAGTGCTCTACTCTACGAGCGTGAGTTAAAAGCTTCTTGGCTCACAAGGTACTGCAAACACATTCCTGCGGAGGGAGCTGGTAGGAACGTTGGGTTGCTCGGTCAATGGCCAGGGCCAACTACGGCGTGGTGTATTCCACAAATATGGCCGACTGTGAGGGCGGGCACAAGCCGGCGTGAGTAGGTTAAACGTTGAGTTTTATAAGGGCACCACGGGGTGACCAGCCCCTCCCCACCCAGCCCCACCCTTCCCACCTCCCACCCAGCCCCACCTTCTCCACCCAGCCCCTCCCCATCCTGCCCCACCCTCCCCACCCAGCCCCTCCCCACCCTCCCCACCCAGCCCCTCCCTCCCCACCCAGCCCCTCCCTGCACGACAGACGGACGGACACACTAATCCCCTGTGGGCTGGTGGAACCAGTGGGTTTCTACCAGTAAAATAAATTTAACTGAAGAAAGCGAGCAACCAGAGTTAGATTCCACCCCCGCCCAACAGCCAACACCAGTGATGATTATCTGAACCGGTCCTGGACCTCCCCAAGGTCGACTCATCCTAGAATGAGTACCTTGCGTGATGCATAAACATTGCTACCAGGGAGACAAATGCGGTCGGGCCTCGCTATGGCTCGTGCTCTTTGCCAGCCAATAACACTTGCCCTCCAACAGCCTGTGCAGGATACGCGCGGGGGGGGGGGTTTGTCTTTGTGTAACTAAGAGGTTTCTTCTGTCTGCCCCCTTGTCACGCTCAGATGGCCTGGAGCACCTTCCTCATGGGCCTTGTGTCTCTGCCTGGAAACATTTTCCCGCCAGTGGAAGACACGAGGTGAGCGTGCGTACATAATCGTACGCACACGGCCGCGTGGGCACAACCTGTACAATTGGGATTGGCATTTGGACAAAAGTAAAATGTTAAACCGGAATGTCCAAACATTCTGTACATCCTCTGCTAAATTTATCAAGAGCCGGGCGCAGCCCTCCCACCCACCCTTTAACTCTGACACACACAGACACGTGTATGTACACAGACACGTGTATGTACACGTGTATGTACACGTGTCTGTGTGTGTTCAGTCTCGAGAGGGGGTGGGGGCGGTGACGCAGTGGTTGAGCGTGCTGCGCTACGAACCTGGTGTCCCGAGTTCGAGTCCCGCTCACATGCCAACACCAGTGACGATTATCTGAAGCAGTCCTGGGCTTCCCCAAGGTCGGCTCGGCCTCAAATGAGTACCTGGTGCGGTGTATAAACACAAGCCTTGGGGAGACAAAAGCCGTGGTGCTTGGCACGCCTCCCATCGTGTGTTGCGTCAGCCTTCATAGGCGCTGCTCGCTAACAGCACTTTCCGCAACAGTCTGTTTGAAGGCTCTATGCTGGATCTTTGTATGCATTGGCGCAATGATTAGTGGCACTGCGCTACAAACCTGCCACCCGAGTTCAATTCCCGCTCACGGTCAACATCTTGGCGAATATCCGAACTGGTTCTGTGCTGTACCCTAGGTCAAGGCTCAACTTAAAAAAACAACGCTGGTGCGGTGTGTAAAACATCAGCCCTGGGGAGACAAAGGTGGCTGCGCATGGTTCTGTCCACACCACCCCTCGGGTGCCGTGTTGGCCTTCGTAGGGTGCTACTCGCCAACGGCGCTTGCCCAAAACAACCCGTGTGGCCCACACGGCGCATCTTATTGACTTCGTCTTTTGCTTCTCAGCAAGCTGTACGGGCACACGGAGGAGGCGCTGTTCGGAGCGCCCATCGCCGTCACGGCGCTGGTGAGTCGCGAGCGGTCGCCCCTGCGCGGCTCGGATCGTGCAAGCCGGACACGGCGTTGAGCCTTCGTGTCACGTGCGGCTGAATGAATGTGCACTCTCCAGTCCGTGTGCCAGAGGTCGCAAACGGGTTTTGATTCCTTACCCGTACCCGGCCGCACCAGGGTCGCAAATGGGTACCCGTACCCGTACCTGGCCGGGTACGGGTTCCCGTTCCCTACCTGTACCCGTACCCTACCCGAAATGAGTGACAAACGGTTACTCACCAGTGACTCACGGCCTACCCGTACCCGTACCCGGCCGCACCAGGGTCGCAAACGGGTACCCGTATCCGTACCCGGCCGGGTACGGGTAGCTGGGTATCGGGTAGGGTACGGGTATCGGGTACCCGGTTGCGACCTCAGCCGTGTGCACATCCGTTGAGCGGCTTGGGTCGTTGCACGTTGGATTTCACCGACGCATCTGTTTGGGTTTTCGCAGCTGAATTTGGTTCACTCTGTTGTGGCTCGTAGACTTACACAGAGACGCACAGACTCGCGAAGACGTCCATAGACATCATACGGACTAGGGGCTATGGCAGATAGCCTTGGTTACTCTAGCAGAGAGTACATCGAGTGAGATAAGAGAGGAGGGGTAGGAGACTGTGTCGAGAGGAGTAGCAGTGGATGGGAAGTGGGGATAGAGAGTATCGATCAACCATGATCAATCCATTGCTCCCCAAGCCATCGCCATCTCACGATCTTGTGATGCAACAATCCATGCAGCACCTACCGCATGAGCTGATGTCATCGCTCCATCTCCGTGACCCACTCACTCAGCCACCCATTTACTCAGGCACCAACTCACTCTCCCACCCACTCAGCCACCAACTCACTCACTCAGCCACCAACCCACTCACCCACCCACTCAGCCACTAACTCACTCACTCAGCCACCAACCCACTCACCCACTCACTCAGCCACTACTCACTCACTCAGCCACCAACCCCCTCACCCACTCACTCAGCCACTAACTCACTCACCCCACTCAGCCACCAACTCACTCACCCACCCACTTAGCCACGAACTCACTCAGCAGCAACCCACTCACCCACTCACTCAGCCACCCACTGACTCACCCACTCACTCAGCCACCATCCCACTCACCCACTGACGCGGCCACCCACTCACCACACTGCAGGTCACGACACGTCTCTTTCAGCCTCTTCCCTCGCACTGCTGCCCTCTGGAATGCCCTCTTCCCATCATGATAGCTTTATTCACACTCTCATGAAAAACCGTGCTAACATTCAAGAAACATTTTGAACTCTTGGATCTTTCCCAACTTCAATAGTTAGTACCGTTTGTTGCTGGCCGTTTGGCGTTTTGGGCCTTTGGGCCTGCGCTCTGCAACCGCGACACATCCCAGTTTGTTTTGTTCCTCCGAAGCGACGTGCGTGCGTGTGTGCGCCTTCATAGGCGCTCGCTAACAGCACTTGCCTCTACAGTCTGTTAAGGCTACACGAGGGATCTTTGTCTTTGTTGTGTGCGCGCGTGTGGGATGGTGGCGTCCGCACGGATAGGTCGCGGACCAGCAGGCGGCCATGTTTGGCGAGTGCTGCTTCGAGCCGGGCGACGTGAAGCTGACGATGGGCACCGGCACGTTCGTGAACATCAACACCGGGCAGAGGCCCCACGCCTCCGTGGCCGGTGAGTAGGCCTGGACGCCCAGCCCCTGCCCCCCCCCCCCCACCTACTTACCCCCCCACCTCACCTCCTTTCCCCCTCACCCACCCCGCCCCACCCCACCCCACCTCCTTCCCCCCCCACCCCACCCCACCTCCTTCCCCCCCCACCCACCCCACCCCACCTCCTTTCCCCCCCACCCACCCCACCTCCTTTCCCCCCCACCCACCCCACCCCACCCTCCACCCCACCTCATTTCACCCCCACCCACCCCATCTCCTTTCCCCCCCACCCACCCCACCCCACCTCCTTTCCCCCCCACCCACCCCACCCCACCTCCTTTCCCCCCCACCCACCCCACCCCACCTCCTTTCCCCCCCATACCACTCTCCCACCCTCCTTCCCCCCCCAGCAATGCAGTTGTAGGGGCCACCAATCACCAGGGAGCGGTGGACGGGGGGAGGGGCTGGGGAGGGGCTTAGTTGGATGACATCACGCACCGTTAAGTTGGGAGTGGGGCGTTTAAGCAGAGGAGCTGTATAACACGCGGGAGGCTTTCACTACCAATATCATCCATAGTAGAGGTTTTTTGGGTTCGATCGCGTAAATATATAAATGTATCGTTCAACCCGCCACCACCCGACACAGCCAACTAGTAAGGGTTGTCACGTAAACAGAACGTGGCCAATTCGTTACTAGTACAGCACTAGTGTATAGTGTAGTATATAGTGTAGTGTGTAGTGTAGTGTGTAGTGTATAGTAGTGTAGTGTATAGTGTAGGGTATAGTAGTGTAGTGTATAGTGTAGTGTACTAGTACAGCACTAACCAGTGTGTTGGCGAGCCAATCCACAACATTTACAAACTGACTACGACGTTTCGCCAGTAATTACAACCAGCTTCATCAGGCGACAGCCAGATTTGTGGAGAAGTCCACCTGTTTAGTTCCGTATTTAGAGGCGTAGATGTGGTGACCACCCTTCTGCGCTCTTGCGCAAAGTGGGGGGGGGGGATTACTGAGTCAACGTTCATGATGCATGTGCATTATGCGAGCCCTTTGAGCTTGTCCTTCCGGTCTATTGTGTATTAAAATAGCTGCACCAACGCTAATCCCTATTGAAGTATGCTGCTCTTTATAGGCATGTATTTAAACAATGTTTTATTTCATTCTTCGCTTGCACGCAACACTAAGGCGGTAGCTATCCGAACGGTTAAAATTATTTTTATTTCTTTCAATATCGATAGATTCTCTAATTAGTCTTGGCCAGTAGTACAGTCTTGGCCAGTAGTACAGCACACCGATGTTCCTGTACTACTGGGCAATACTGATTAGAGAATTTATCGAATTGGCACGTTCTGTTTACGCGACAACCCTTACTAGTTGGCTGTGTCGGGTGGTGGTGGCGGGTTTTAACGACACATTTATATATTTACGCGATCTAAAAAGCCTCTATTGTAGAGGAGCTGTAGCCGAAGGGTATAAGGCATGAATGGTATGAGGCATGAGGGGTAATGCACGAGCAACTTATACAGGGGCCAAAGTGCGATCGCATATCAGCACACCTCGCTAACACGAAAGGGAAAACGATCCGTTCCAGTAGATTGGGGTTGGCCAGAAACCAAGGCACAGGAATGACGGGAGCGGTAGGAGAGTGCGGTGGAGGGGAGTAGAGGGAGAGGTGGTAGGTGCAGTGGCGGATGAAGCTAGTGAGGGACCTGTAGCATGATGTTATAAAGAGGCCCTAAATAAAAAACATAAATATTAAAAGACAAATTTTTTACTTGCATAGTAAAGTCATTGTATTTTTTCATTTGCTATACAGCGAGATAATATGACAAATCGCTAACCTTAAACACCCAGTCGTTCATAAAAATTGAAGGCTGGATTGTACTATAGTAATTGCAAGTGCAGAATCACTGAACTGGAATTAATATCTTGAAAACATTTAGCGCGGGGCCCTTGAAAGTGCGAGGCCCGTAGCATATGTAGCTACTTTTGCGACTAGGATAATCCGGCACTGGGTAGGGGTTGATACGGTACAGGCCGAATGCCCAGCGGTGACGCTGTTGATGCTGCTGCTGCTGCGTCGTCGTCGGTGTGCCTCCTCCTCCTCCTCGCCGTCCCCTCCCCCAGGGCTGTACCCCGTCGTGGGCTGGAAGATCCGCGAGGAGCTCGTGTTCCTGGCCGAGGGGAACGCGGCCGACACGGGGACCTCCTTGAAATGGGCGCAGGAGCTTGGTGAGACAGAGACATGCACACAAACAAGGACAAAGATCCCCCCCCCTCGTGTAGCCTTAACAGACTGTAGAGGCAAGTGCTGTTAGCGAGCACCTGTGAAGGCCGGAACGGCACACGAGGGGGTGGGTTGCCAGCACCACGCCCGACCGCCTTTGTCTCCCCAGTGGCGATGATGTTTACACACCTGCACCAGGTACTCATTTGAAGCTGATATTGCCCGTCAGCAGGAATTGAACTGGGGTGACCCAATTCGTATCGCAGCGCTAACCACTGCGCCACCGCTCCCCAGGGAAGCACGCACACGCGCGCTTAAACACCTTGACAAACGCTCGGCTTGACGGCCGCATTGCAGACGATTCCTTTTGCGGTGCCGCGGCTTTCACAAAGTTCACCTTCGCTGCCACGGCACGACATGGGCCCCTGGCGCGGCACACGGCAGTCAGCAGGGGGGGGACAAAGGCGGCCTGGGCGCCACGCTGGCCACGCCGCGTCCTAATGCGCACTGCTCCAACGCTGTAAACGCTGCACACGTGGCCGCTGAGGCTTGCACCCCCCACCAAACACAAGGTAGCGGTGGGTGGGGAAGGGGGAGGAGTAGTAGGGGGGCTGAGGATGGGGGGACTTAGTTGGGTGACATCGTTAAGTAGGGGAATGGGTTTGTGAGTGGCGTAAATCTTCAGTTGCGCTCCTCGCGTGCCGCGGGCCAGACCTCTTCCAGGACGTGAGCGAGATCGCCGTGCTGGCGCAGAGCGTCCCGGATTCGGGCGGCGTTTACTTCGTGCCGGCGTTCAGCGGCCTCCAGGTGAGCGGGGGCGGGCGCTCGAATCACCCTCGCCGGTTTTTGCGACCGCCACCGCTGCAGAATAACCGTTGGCAGGCAATTGTCGCCGGTGGTAATGGTTGGCGCAAATATTTCCTGTTGTAAAAATCAGCGCATCCCGGAGGCCCCGGGACCGGATCGCCCCGTGGGTCCCTCTTGTTCATTCACGACAAAATTACAGGCGCGCTGTCGGAGGGCGTGGAGCCCTCGTTTGTGCGAGGCCCGGGGCAAAGTGTCGCTGGTGCCTGCCCCCAACCCACCCCACCACCACTCTGGGCAGACCACAGTCTGAGCAATTCTGATGGCAGCTTCTTCCCTGAGTGCGCAGCCGCGAGGCAAATTCCCATCAGACCAGCGGACGTGAAGCCCCCTCCGTTTGAGATGTCGCGGATTCAAGTGGGTGAACAGGCAGGATCTGGACAGATGAAGGAGACAGTCAGGTGCGCCACTGATTGCTTTTCTGCTAAAGCAACGCTTACATTGTAATCAATGGGCGACTGAAAAACCTGAAACGAACCCAGGATTCCAACCCAGGCTCCCAGCGGTTCTGGCTCAGCGCTCTGATCTGTAACCCAACCCACAAGAATCGATATTAATCGACGAATCGACGCTTCCATAGCGGCCTCGCGATCATAGCTGTGGTGACATGGCCTCTCACCTGGCTTCTATTCCCCCTGTTTTTAATGTAAGAAAATAAATAACGCCTCCCTCCCATATTTGTCTCCCCACACACGAAAACGTTTAAAACGAATACTTTTAGGGACCAATTTCTACCAGAAAGGATCCCTGCCCATAAACAGCGAGTCCACAGAGACAAATATGAGAAGGGGGGGGGGGGCATTATTTGTTATCGTCACAGTGACGCTTAACGGTCATTCATTGTGCCCCGCTTTGTCTTCCCCGCATCCGCCGTGTTCAAAAGAGGAGAAAGGTGGGTGACTCATCGTCACAGCTCGGTTCCAATCTGCCAAACGCCCCGGCAGCAGCACGGCACTGCCTGTAGTTTAGCCACAGATCAACGCTTCGAAGCGCGATGGCACCAGCACGGCGCTGCCTGTAGTTTAGCCACAGATCAAAGCTGCCAAGCGCGATGGCAGTAGCACATCGCTGCCTGTAGTTTAGCCACAAATCAACGCTTCGAAGCGCTATGGCACCAGCACGACGCTCCCTGTAGTTTAGCCACAGATCAACGCTGCCAAGCGCGATGGCAGTAGCACGTCGCTGCCTGTAGCACAGATCGAAAACTACGGAGCGTGCGTCGCATGCATGCGCCATGTGTGTGTGTGTGAGGAGCGGCGGTGCCGCGGTTAGTACAAGACAATGCCGCGTCGTTGGCTGTGTGGGCCGGACTAGTGGCCGTGGGTAGCCGTGATGGCGGCGGTTAGGGATGGCCTGCGCTGTGCGGAGTGCCGGGGGTTGTGAGAGGCATACGCTGCTGTCGCTTCCTTTCCTGATGCTTCATCTCAATCGCCTGACCTCCGAGGTTTGATCCTCGGCCACACCTTAGGCCGCCTCGGCCTAAAACAGTGACCTCATGTCAGCATGGAAAGACAAAGTTAGCCGATCACGCACCACCCCTGCCCCTCGGCGCTCTGCTGTGCTGTGCCACCCTGAATAGGTGCTCGCTCACATCACTTGCACTGACGTGTTTGTGTGCCTGTGTCCGTGTGTCACATCCCTGCCTTTAGCTGCATTCGATGTGTGTGCATGTGTGTTAGTGTGCGTGTGCATGCTTTTGGTTGTGCATGCGCACACAAGCGTGTGTGGTTGCGTATGTGCGGTTAGCGCACTGCGGTACGAACCCGGCGATCCGAGTTCAATTCGCGCTCGCGGCCAACACCAGCGGCAATGATGTGAACCGGTTCTGGGCCTCCCCCAGGTCGACTCGGCTTGAAATGAGCACGTGGTGCGCTGCGTAAAAACGCCAGCACTGGGGAGACAAAGGCGGCCGGGTTCGGCAACACGACCCCGCCGCGCGCCGCGCCAGCCCTCGTAACTGCACTCGCCACCGCCCATGTTCTCCGTGGGCCACGTGGGGGAAACTTCGTCTTTGTCCTCACAGGCCCCGCTCAACGACCCCAACGCGTGCACCGCCTTGGTGGGGCTCAAGCCGTCCACGAGCCGAGCGCACATCGTGCGTGCCATCGTGGAGGCCCTGGTGTTCCGGTGAGACACACGCGGGCTGTGCCCGACCGCAGCAACGGCAGCAGCAGCTGCTGTTCGACAGCAGTGTGCCGCCGTAGGTTGTTGTGGCTCTGGGCATGCGCTCAGTAACTGCGCTTCAGATGCTCGCGCAGCTTTTGTACGCCGCCTAGAGCCCGTCGCTCTGTGTCCCCGCAGAAACAAGCAGCTGCATAACACGATGCTAGAGGAGACCAGGCTGCCCATGAGACAGATCAGGTACTTGCACGCCCCCCCCTCTTCCCAAACCCCCTCCGTGTAAGTTGGTGAAGGAGGGGGCCCAGGATTGGTTCAATTCATCGCTTGCTACTGTTGTAAGCTGTGGGGTTGCTTGGTTCAAGGGGCAGTGCACGAACCGCTGCTTCACAATGAGCTTGAGTTAACCAACATGGTGGTCATGGTGGTTGGTAACGCTGGTGCCGGCGGTTGTGATGATTGTAGCAGTGCTGATTATAATGATGATCGTTATTTTAGTGGTGGTGGAAGCAGTGGTAATGATGATGATGATCACGGTGATGTTAATAATGATTTTGGTGGTGACGATGATGGTCGTGGTGGTGTTGGTGGTGGCGTTGTCTCCACATGATGTGGCTGGCTCAGGGCGGATGGCGGCGTGTGCAATAACGACTTCGTGCTGCAGCTGACGGCAGACTTGCTGGGCTGCTCCGTCGACCGCCCCCAACACACGGACATGTCCAGCCTGGGAGCTGCCTTCCTCGCAGGCTTAGCCGTGGGTGAGCACCTCCCTCGTTCGCTCGCTCACCCGCTCGCCCGCTCTCTCACTCGCTCGCCCGCTCGTCCTCTCACTCGCTCGTCCACGTTATTCGGACGCTCGCCCAGTTGCCGACTTGCTCACGAGTTCACTCGCTCAATCGCCCACCCGTGCGCTGGCTCGCGCGTCCGCACACACGCTCGGTCCATTCATATCTCTCGCAGAAAAGTGAGAGGATCTGAGGGCCGTTAGGGAACAGTTCTCGGAAGTGGACACCACAGAGCTACATCTTGAGATCCCTTCAGGTGACCTCTAGTCAACACAGTAGGAGGTAGCACTTCTCCACCCACTCTACCGCCGAGGGTATTGTTAGACCCATTACGGTGAAGGTGATATCTTTTTTTTATTCTCAAGAGCTGGAATTCAACCAAATTAAGTGCAGTGATACATTTTATCCAACGGTCTTTTTGTGCAGTCATTGGTGACCCGAATGAAACCATCGACTCGCTGTACCTGAGAGCCCCGTTTTAATCACGGATTTGGCGTGATTCAAGTCCCAGATTCTAACCCAGGAGGAACCCAGCAATGCAAACTTAGTGCTGACCTCCCAGCCACCTTGGCCACTTGAGGAATCCACAGCCGGTTATAACATGACCCTGCGCTAAAGGCCCAGCTCCTGACACCGCCCCAAACCCGACTGTCGGGCCCGCGCAGGCTTTTGGAACGACCCCTCCGAGCTGAAGGTCCTTCGCTGGACGGAGAAGCTGTTCGAGCCGAGGACGCCCAAACCGCAGCTGCTGTCGGACATGAGGAGCTGGGAACGGGCGCTGAAGCTCACGCGCGGCTGGTACAGCAAATCGTGACGGAGGGAGGTCCTCCGTTCCGCCGTGCGCGCGAGCGGCGTCACTGCTTGCGGCGAGGGTCTCCGTGCCACGCGGCAGGTCCAGGCTAAAGCGTATTTGGGATATCTTTTCTGACGGTTGGCCATTGTTCAGACTTTTCCTTGAATGCGTGGAAGGGTGGGCTCCATTGCCGTCGACCGGGGCTCTCTCTCGGAGGGGGGGCGGGGGGTGGATGCTCTTCGTCACCGATTGGCCTGCTACAAAGGTTTATATATATTATATATTTTTTTCTTTTTACAAAGTGAAGAGGATGAACAGTGATCATGATCGGAATGAAAATCTTTGTGCTGGAAAATACCGTAAACTGTTTTAGTTTAGTGCCAAAACGGTCACTTTGGGAAATGAGGGCCCCTTGTTTTAAGGTTCTGTGCCAAAATGTTAACTTTGGTGTCAACAGTTTGTCATCTTCAGTCAATGATTTCCCTTCAGTAGGTGAGTAAATGACGATGCGTCCGCTTCATCGATGACACATCTATCGCCTACGCTCACGTTACGCACATGGAACCGTACGTGCAAGGTTTAATTATGTACGACGTGTACGAAGAGTACGTGTGCGAATTATACGCTCGAGTGACACTCACGCCAGCGGCGTATACGCGAACCGTGCAAACGACACGGTAAGCACGAGCAACGATGACGAGGCTTCAGTAAAAAAAAAACGAGACGAGGCAAATCGATCCCTTCGAGACGCGACCCCCGCAGTCGCGACGATTCCCCGTGTCGCAAGGGTGTCGGATCGGTGCGCGTGTATACTGTTGAACAAGGCATCTGTGTTTCTGTGGCCTGGAACCACACACGAACCAATCCAGTTGATGCTGCTAGAGTGGGAGGAAGAAAAAACAACTCCAGGTAGCTGTGGTTTCTCTGGGTCGCAAAAAACGTTTCAAGGTTTCGGACCTCTCAGTCTTCAAGAGCAGAGTTCAGTTTATACAAATGGTGAAATAGGCGATGGCAAACTGCGGTGACAGTTACACACAGCGTGCGAGTCCAACCTGTCTCCATTGGGAGAAACGAAGCACTTTGCTTGATCTCCTGTGATTTATTGCGCCTTCATGTGTACATGTACTTGAGCGTGTGTAATTATCCTACCTCTCCCCTATCATCGCACTCTACTCCCCTCCACGCACTCTCCCACATCTCATCGCACTCTACTCCCCTCCACCCGCTCTCCTACCTCTCCTCTCTCATCTCACTCTACTCCCCTCCACGCACTCTCCTACCTCTCCCCTCTCATCTCACTCTACTCCCCTCCATGCACTCTCCTACCTCTCCCCTCTCATCTCACTCTACTCCCCTCCACGCACTCTCCTACCTCTCCCCTCTCATCTCACTCTACTCCCCTCCACGCACTCTCCTACCTCTCCCCTCTCATCTCATTCTACTCCCCTCCACACACTCTCCTATTTCTCCCCTCTCATCTCACTCGTCTCCCCTTCACCCGCTCCCCTACCTCTCCCCTCTCATCTCACTCTACTCCCCTCCACTCACTCTCCAACATCTCATCTCACTCTACTCCCCTGCTGGCACTAATTTGCTCCAACAGCCAAGGTTTTCTATCAAAGGGCCCAGTAGCACATTCTTCTTTGTGTTCCCCATACAGCCTGGAACCCCCTTCCCCTATCAATCCGGGCTGTCGATTCCCTCGTTTCTGTACAGTGTCTTGAGATGCGGTCACATTTGGACGCCATATCAATTGTATTGTGCAACTGTATTGTGTCATTGTACAGTATTGTGTAAATGTATCGTCCCAAATGAAGTGCTGCTTTCTTTCCGGATGTCGGCCCACAGTTGGTGCAATCGCCAGCGTTTTGTGGCCTTGATTTGATGTTTTGTTCAGCTGAGAATATAAACCTCCTCCCTGGGTTGGGGGGTTCGTTCGTTTTGACGCGTGTCCAGGAGAACACACGCTGAGAATTATCCACGACTGCAAATGTAATGGCCCCTTTTATTTCTGGCTCCGTTTAAAATTTGAGCTGCGGGTGAATTCTTGAATTTGCTGACAATATTACACACGGGCCTTAAAAACAGTCAACGCTAGCACCGGGCAACGTCTTGCACAGTGGGAATGGTGTAACACGCTGCATGTGGTGCGTCGATGATGATGATGACGGTGGCTCTCGCGACCTCGTTCCACTGCCATGCACCGCCGCTGCTGCCCAGTCCGCCTCCCCGCTGAGCGTGAAGAGTCTGTGACGCGTCGGGCCTGCGAGTCGGTCAGCAACGAAAAAGGTTGCTATGGGGAGGTTATTGCCGAACTGCTCGAGGTTTGAGCAGGCGATGGTAACATTGATCCCCAAAGGTTTATTTTTTCTGTGAAGTATTACATTCAAGTTACAAACTGATCATGCTGCTGCTGCTGCACACTTTGGTACCTACCGTACATCATTTCATGAAAATGCTGAATGGCGAGATAGTATATATTTAAGAACAAATAACCTTGAAGTGTACCCCATCTCGTAAAGTAATCAGGGTTGAGTGTGGATCATTGCACTGTACGATGTTATATGTTCCCACGTCCATGCTTCGTGCCTTCACCACCTCGGCCGGTTGGTGACGGAGGCTCAAATTACCCACACTGCATCGGGAGGCCCTCATCCAGCAGTGGATTGACAAAATGGTCAAAAACTAAGTCTGTACTTTTACAAATATTTATACGAATAAATTAGCACGGTGATGTTTTGATTTGAAGCTTTCGTGACTGCAGGAATCCATAATCTTTGGTTCTTTCGGTAAAGTCACGTAATTCTAACTAATACGGTGATGTTTAATAAAAAATAATGACATTTATAACGCTCCAGATTTTGCACACAAGTCAACAACTCGAGGCTCGGAGCCAAGCTCAGGGCTGCTCTGAAGCCAGACCCAGACAGACAGAGGCCTTCACATGTTTCTTAAAAGTCAGAGTGCATTTGATGTTGCGGATGTGCAAAGGGATTGGAGAGTTCCACACCGAGGGGGCGACAGCAGAGACGACGCATTTAGCATTTCCAAAGGAATTGACATTACGAGGATCGGACAAAATCCAAATACAACAAGGAACTGAGAGGAGAATTCTGGGATTTTTCTTTCGCTGTTTTCTGGCCGGCCGAGTTGCCCTTACAAAAGAAAAAAAGTCGTCTGGCTCGGGAGGGCTTTGCTCGGGAATTATAATTCTGAACGCGGCGGAACCAGAGGGATCCGTCACAGGGTTTGCGCAGCACGGGAGGGTGTAGGGGAAACACCCTCGTGCATGAATAAACCTTGCAGATAAATGTGCCCGTGACAAAACGTGTAGATGTTTACTTGCAGTAGTTTACAGTAATCAACGTAAAAATAATCGCACTAATTTCTTCAGGAAAGCCTCAATGAGTATTAGGACCTGTTAGGAGGGTAAGGCTACATTGGGCTGTTTGGCCAATGCAGTCCTGACGATTAATTTCGCAAGCTGGAGACCCCACGCATTCTAAGCGGATAACCGGTGAAGGTTTGAGATTGATTCAAGAATCCGTTTTCATTCAAGCCGGGGCTGAAGTACCTTCCCGAAGGCGGAACAGGACTTTGAACTACCTCTGTGGGGCAACGGCACTTTAACACGCGCGCACCTCGGCCTCTGCTGTCACTGCTTGCTGCCAGTGGTGCCGTGAAGTCAACAATAGTCTCTCCCAGTGTCCCCATGGGTGCGGGTAAGATGCTTGCGAGTGATGGATAAATATAGTTTGGCAGCTGTCTCGAGACCACAGGCGGCAGGTTACCCTGACCTGTGCGGTGCTGCTAAAGCCTCTCTTATCTCGCTGCCTGGCAGGGTTGAGTGATTCACTTGCACCACCAACCCTTTGATTTGAAGTGTTCGAACACAGGCAAGATACGCCCCCCCTCTCCCGTTTTAATCTACGACAATACTATTGGGGAAAGTGCTGTTCGCGAGCACCTATGAAGGCCGACACGACACACGAGGTGGTGGGTGGCCTTCACCACACCGCGCCGTCTTTGTCTCTCGAGTGGCGATGTTTACACATCGCACCAGGTACTCATTTGAGGCCGAGTCGACCCAGGGGAGGGCCCAGGACCACTTCAGATCATCGTCAGTGGTGTTGGTGGCCGTGAGCGAGAATCCAACTCGGGTCGCTTCCCACCGGGCCTTGCTCCTCTCTCTACAGTCACGAGTGATTTCGAGACAGGCAGGAGGCAGGACAGAGAGGAAAAGTTGAGGACTTTCATTCTAAACTTGCTGCCACGGTTGTCCTTAAACACGAATCTTGGCATCCATTCAGAGTGGACTTTGTCAACTTGCGTTCGGTTTGAGCTGCAGTCCTCATTGGAGTCCGTCGGTCATTTGAATCTTATGGTAGGACCCCGGGGTCCCGAATAAATTGAAGTCAAAATCGTAATTATTACATTTTATTTTTGGCGACTCCGTCCCACCGCGTACACAAACGCCGCGACCCGCCTGGCGCAGATCGTTCTGTTGTCGTCCAAGCGCAGCGGCGAGGACGAATTCGCAGAAGAGACAAAACTCTTAAACTTTGATTAGCGCGTCGTGTAGAGCTCGTCGAGAGGAATAGATTGCCGTGTCGTTCGCCTTCAACAGACGTACAATGACGTCGCAACGCAGTTTATGCCAGAGCCTTGGGGGGGGAGGGGGGCTGATGGGACCCCGGGTGTCCTGCCATGAGGTTCAATTCTCTCCCGTGTCGCGGTGCGCGTGGTGTTGGTTTGAGCACTAATTTAGATGAGTAAAGCTTGAAACGTGTCGTGAAATACAATGTGCAGCTGTGGAAAGACTTAAGTGCATTTGTTGCCGCGAGGTTATCTGTATTTTCAAGAATAATAATTACAAACTCGACTACTCTTTGTTAAAATTGTGAGTTCTCTATCGGTGCTTGTGTGATTAAATGACCAGTTGTAAAGTGTTATTTTCAAATGAGTATATCGTTTTGATTTGAAGCTTTCGTGACTGCAGGAATCCATACTCTTTGGTTCTTTTGGTAAAGTCACGTAGGTAGAAATTATTTTATATAAATTATTTTATAACTACTTGACTTTAGGTATAAATTATGTTATATAAATTATTTTATATTATTTCCTACCTACGTGACTTTACCGAAAGAACCAACGAGTATGAGTATATCGTGTTGACAAGGTTGTAATGACAAACGAAACGTATTCGTAAAGTTAACATTTGCATTCTTCACTTAACGTGTAATGTGCACACATTACATTCTTAACATAGCAGGCTTCTCCAGCCTTAATGTGCTGACATTAGCAACGATCCCTCTCCGTGATGTGTTTATCTGTCGCTTCAATGTACCGAACGTGCAGTCACCTGGGTGACTGCCGCCCGTGACGCGATTGTCAGAGATGAGGTGCAAATATTCGCCCTCGTGATGGTCACGTGCCAAGTGTGTGTGTGTGTTGTGGCTCTGGACATGTAAGCTGTCTTGACCACAAGGTTTTACGAATGGCACGGTGGCCAATACTATAACCGATACCGTATTCACTATCGGGCATGGCCAATCCGCTGCTGGATGAAGGCTTCCTCAAGCCGCCGCCATCTCTCACGATCTAACAATCTCGCTCCTGCACATGATCCCATTTAATGTGTTACCATCTCTGCATTAGACATCTTCACTGGAGTGTCGACACCTTTGGCTGCCACTCCGGCGTGAGTCCCGGGCCATCAGCCAACACTTTTTTGAGTGAGTCGCGAACTCGCCCATGTCCTCTGATCCGTATGTTTCCCTTTCTGTCTTTCAGTGCCAATTCCACGAATTAAAAATGTCACACTTGGCGGGTCTCAAAAACATGTGTCTCGGCTACACATACCCAATGTGTTAGCGTGGATATACGAAGTGCCTGGATTGAGCATGCAGTTGTGAGCTCACCCAGTTATCGGCCATCATCACCAGCAAGCAGGCTGCAGTTTGGTTTAGAAACCAACAGGCTCTGCCAAGACATCTAATTGTTACAATTATTGCCATTACAACTGAACAACAATGGTGTAGTATAATATCAAACAACAGTGACACAATCATCAGTACTGCGTTATGATCCAAGTGACCCCGAATTCAATTCCCGACGACGGCTAACACCAGTGGCGAGTTACACATGCCTACCCTGGAACCTTCAACAACTTAGGCCGACCAGCGTGGTGAAGTACGCTCAGACAAGCCCCATGACCGGCATGTGTCGTGGGGTTGGAGCCCTCGTGCAGAAATGGATGCTCAGTGCGCTGTAAAAATAGCTCAACCTGAAAAAGCACTCGTAGTTTGTATTTGTTGTGCGACAAAAACGAGTGCTCACGGGAACGTGTATATGGGGCAGGGGTCCCAGGGGAAGGTGCCAAGTCAATTGAGCTCGTCCGTTCTTGTCCAGTGAAGTACACACGCACAATGTTCTCTCCACCCACTGGATTTATTGCTGTCACTGTGTTTCCGCAGTGGTGGTAGTTCCTCACGATTTGTTATTTTGTTTACTGTTCCGCGTGTGAACACATGACGATGAAAATAGCTGAAGGGGAGCGGTGGTGCAGTGGGTTAGTAGTGCACCGCGCTACGAACCCGGTGAGATTCCCAGCCACACCGAGCAACGAGTGTCATCTAAACCGGCGCTGGGGCCGCGCTTCACCAGCCTGCACTCGCCAACGCGGTGAAGTATGGTCGAAAGAGCCCCACGACCAACAATGCGCGGAGAATTGACAGGGGGCTTCAAGTGAAATTTGAATGTTACCAAATCGCACACATGGGCGCCCTTTAAATTGCGCCAGGGTAACTGCCACGTACTGTCCCCCAAACAGGGCCAGACATTCCACTGGGAGAGATGGCCTGTTGCACTGCGTGTGTAGAGCCACGTTATTGTTGTCGTGAAACAGAGCAGGCACTGTGTTTCTCATGAGTGCCGACAGACTGGGCTTGGGGCCGAGTTGAAATTGGATCATTGTCAATGTGAGAAGCGGCTCTTGCTTTCCTGCCCATTCGAACCCAACAGCAGCGAGGCTCACGCGAGGTTACATAACTGCCGAGTGCCGTAATCATTTCACGTAAGTGAATACATTTTCTCAAACTTTGACCTTGTTTTTTTTTTCATGCTGTAACATTTTCGAATGGCTTTTTTTTTCGGTACGATTTGGCGATGGGCATCGTCGGCCGCACGACAACCTCAATCTCCCTTGAACGCGCCCAAGTTCGTCAGATCTCCGACACTAAAGCAGTGTTGAGCTTGGATAGTGCTTGGATGGGTGACCGCCATAAAAAAAAACAGGCGTTATCGGCTGCAAGATCCGTTGGTGTAAATAATCTCACTGGTGTACCGTATGTCTTTACTCCTTCGATTCAGCTCCCTGCCTTCACCAACCCGCACTAATCGGCGTGAATGACGGTCATAATAACCCCCATGACCCTTACGGTGTGGGGAGGCCCACATCCAGCAGTGGATTAACAAAGGCCTGTACGTGTCCATGGGAGAGCTATACAGTTCAGTTCAAGTCCACTCGCGATGGTTTTGCTTTACTGTTGTAACTTTCTGACTCGCCCATACTGGACATTCCTACTGCAGTCTAAATAAATATTCTTATTGTATCCCCCCATCCCCCATCTATAGCTGCTCGTGTGCCATTCATTGCTGCTCCTAAGAGAGTCATCCTTAGAAAGTATGGTGAACTATGCCTGGGCACGGCGAGGCCAGAGGAAACTGGTGGAGGCCCGTAGTGGTTCTGACGTGCAAATCCATCGTCCGACCTGGGTATAGGGGCGAATGACTACAAAGTCGTACATTCACTTTATTTTCTTCGTGTGAGATTTCAATCAAACAAGCCTCGTTTGCCATATCATGCCGCAGCGTACAACAGACCTGCTGTGCATGCATAGTGGTTGCCCATCCAAACATAATCCAGGCTCAAACCTGCTTAGCAGCTACCGAGATCTGACAAGACTGCATTCCCGGTGACTCCGTCGTAGGCATCTGTCCTGTGAATGGAGGAAATAAAAAAATCGACACGCAAACACTGCTGCCACTTCAACGGATGTATTTCTCCTAGAGTCACTTCAAAGCAAGGCACGTCATGTTCAAACCCCCAATTAATGATAAATATCCACGGTCGAAAGCCTCACTCTTCCGCATGCAGGTATCACGGCAAACCACATCCCAGAAGAGCTCTCTGATGATGTGTATGTGTGTGTGGACTGTACCATGTGCTGTTGGGCACAACGTACTGCGCCAGGTGCTGGCAGCTTCTTAAAATTCTTCTTAAGCGCCTTAAAAAACCGAAGAAGCTCCGAGCACGTGAAGCGAAACGTCGAACATCGTCTCGAACAACACGTGGTACGATCCGAAAACACGTCGGAGAGAGCTGCACAGCACAAACGCCAAAACTTACGCAGTCGTCTTACACGTCCGATCAGGCCTTCCGGGAATTGAAATATTTTCGTTAAAAAAATCACTGTGTTTAAAACAAGCAAACTGGTCTTTGTTAAGAAATACCTGGCAGTTCACCCGGAATTAGTTTAATGAATGTCGAAAACCCAGTGTAGAGTGCGCGTATTAAACCGATTACATTGAAAACATTTAGCTCCCAGCAGTGTTGTGTGGCTGGCGGGACGTATACCGAATACCATCCCAACGCCCCCATACTTTGCCCACGCTGCTGCTGCACGGTCAGACACTGCGCGTTGTCGCCACCTGCGGGTGTTTGTGGATTTAGCCGGACTCGCCAGGGCTGCCCTGGTGGAGATTCTGAACAGCTGCTGGGCGTGGAGGGGGGGTGAGACAAAGACGATAACCAAAGTGAACAAACCGTTGCACCGGGGGGGAAGCCCCACGTGAAAAAAATTAATCGGTAAATAGGTTTAAGACATGATAATTGTTTTTTTACCCTTCTATCTGGCAACAAAACTGACACCTTTTTTACAAGGAGTCATGTTTACATAGACCACAATACCTGCAGTCATAATGCAAACAAAAAACATAACTCTGATAATGTGCACTGTCCTTGAAGTTGATTGGTCCACACCCGAGACAGCTTTCCTTAGAGCCTAGTCTCACGTGGGTTGGACCAGATGACGCCAAAAGGCGCACACCTCAAAGATAATGCACCATCAGAGTACGAGAGCTCGGGGTAAGCATTTACACCATTGGACCAATCAACTTCAAGGACAATGCACATTATCAGAGTTATGTTTTTTGTTTGCATTATGACTGCAGGCATTGTGGTCTATGTAAACATAACTCCTTGTAAAAAAGGTGTCAGTTTTGTTGCCAGATAGAAGGGTAAAAAAACAATTATATTTTTACTGGCAAATGAGGTTCCAATGGTGTAAAGGTTTAAGAGACTTTTTTAAAATCCAATCCAAGAAAGGATCTGGCGTGGCTTCTTATCTTGAAGACTGGCCCTCGTTGAACTGCGAGAACTACACGTTGAGAGGTGTGGACACCACCTCCATACGTGCGGATTTCAGGAGTGCTCGGCCTGGCTGTGACTGCGGCTTGGGTCTCTATGCGAGCCTTTGGATGTCTCTGCGAGTGTATGGGTCTCTGTGCAAGTCTATGCGAGTCTAATTGTGACTGCGGTGAAGTGAAATCCATCACTCACACCACCCTGATCATTGCCCCACGCGCGCTTTTGCAGGGGGTACGAATGGAATCCACATGGAGACCCCAGACAACGCAACATAGAGCTATAAACTCCGTTTATTGCATTTTAAATGCCACAAAACAGAAGAATAAACCATTAGAACTCCAGTCATATATGATGCAATTGGAGTCTTAAAAAAGGTGACGAAGCCAACAGTTTTATTCTGCAGATAGCAGTAAAGTGTGCTGAGGCTTCATGGCGGTGTAGACCATTACCGAGCCTGCGCGAAAATCACCAGGAATGTGCCCGATATCAGATCTCGGAAGCTCATCAGGTTTGAACCGGGACAGCACTTGCATGGGTGACCACAATGTAGCACAGGTTGTTATTGGCTGCTGTGGAACTACATGGCCGGCAGCATTTGGCACTGCTCCCCCGCCTTCACCAACCCGCAATGACCAACGCGGAGAAGTATGGCCAAATAAACCCACATGACCGGCATGGCATCGGGAACCCCTCGTCCAGGTGTGCACTCACAGGCCATGAATCAACAGCATCATTGTAAATGACAGCAAGAGCCTAAACACACAAGCGTGATCGTGCCAAACACAGAATACTAAACTTACTGAGGCAAGGGCTTCGTTCTTAAAGAGCTCGGAGATCAGCTACAATTTCACCGTCACAATGAACGCTGCAGGAACAGAGATCTATTCACGGCACTTCTTGTGCAAGGAGTTGCGTAACCACAACTGACGGTAAATTAATCTGCACTATTATCTTACCCCTCGCATAGAAATTCTGGTTTTGTCCGCTGTTTGGGCGGAGCTCAAATTGTGGATTCACTTTGCAGTGCACGAACAAAATACGACATCAGATTAATATTGCAACTGTGGTCTGCAAGCAGGCCGATCTATTCCAGATTTTCACAACTGCTGCACTGGCGTACAAAGTGCAAGTTACTAATACTGGAGTAACACTAAAAGTGACTGCTCTTCATGAACATCGGAGCGGGGTTCGTGCATGAGGGGTTTAGCGTTGAGATCACACAATTGTCTCATGTTTGGTATACCTGGCGTCGCCCTCGCTAACATATAGATGTGCAGCCCTTTGTCTATCCAACGCTGGGTGAAGGCATTCCCACAGCGTGTGCGTAATGGGGTATATTTGACTAAACTTGACCACTGCTGGTTCGTGTGATTTCATGAAGATGGGCAGCACAGAAGCAGAGTACCACAACGGCTTTTGCCGCACTTTATTGTGCTACTTACAACATATCTCTATGAATTCTGGTCACCCATCCAAGCACTATCCAGGCTCAAATGTGCTTATCTTCTGAGACCTGATGATAAATAAATGGCATTATTAGCATTACAGCTAATTTCCTAGCTCGATCACAAACCTCTCACCTTCAGCATACAACACCTTATCCTGGTGTCCAACTCTATCTGTGTTTAAGAATAAGAGTTTTTTTAAGTTAAATAGCGTAAATATATAAATGTGTTGTTAACCCCGCCACAACCCGACACAGCCAACTAGTAAGGTTTGTCACGTAAACAGAACGTGGCCAATTCGTCACTAGTACAGCACCACCGGTGCGTTGGAGAGTAAACTCACAACATTTACAATTCGTGTACGTTTCGCCAGCATCATCAGGCGGCAGACAGATTTGTGGAGAAATCCTCATCTTTCATTCTTAAAAAGAGGGCTAAATGTGATGTCGTCACTTGTGAACCAATCAGATGCGAAGGCGGGGGGGGGGGGGGTTAATGTATGCATATCAATTAATTTAATGTATGCATAGAAATCAATGTTTGGTGGCGGTGAGATGCTGTGTACCCAGGGCCAGCTCTCTCTCCAGGCTGCCCACGATGCGCTCCTCGTCCTCATCCGAGTCCCGGTTCGACTCCACGTCCAAGGCGCCGCTCATCCGCACTCCTCTGCCCGGACCCCCTGACCTCGTCGGCCGAAGGGACAGCGGCGTGAGCGGAGTGAACGTGGACCGTGACGACGAGGGGGATGATGACGGGCGGGCGGTGGCAGAGGCTGGAGAAAAGATGAAGTGGGACATCAATAGAGAAAAAGTTTACGAGCAGTTGACATATGTGCTCCGTAACTCGTGATGAATTATTTACCAAAAATAATTTCTATAATATAACTCGTGAATGGCTATAATCAAAATGTAAGAATAGGTTTTACCATTTCCGGAATGAAAACAGGAGGTGTTAAGATGTTAAAACACCAAACAGAAACCTTTTGCAAGGAATCGTGTCTGCATTATACCAGAGAATCCCTTTTGGCCTTTTGGCATCCTCTGATCTAGCACTGTTTGAGACTATGCTCTAAAGAAAGCTGTCTCTAGTGTGGACCAATCAGTTTAAAAGACAATGAATGATATACTACCAGAGCATGTTTTTTTTGCATGTTCACCACAGGTATATGTCGTTAATGCAGACACGATTCCTTGCAAAAGGTTTCTGTTTGGTGTTTTAACATCTTAACACCTCCTGTTTTATTAGCAGAAAGGGGTAAAACCTTTTCTTCTGATAGTGGCAATAATCGAGTTACCCCAAATGCGACCGCTCCCATGAGATTCCCACAAACCAAAGTTAAAGCCTGAATAGTGCTTGGAGGGGCAACTGCTGTGCACAACAGGCTGTGCAAGAGAAGCCTTCATCCACTCGTGGTTCGACAAAAGGGCTGTGTGCTTACATGTAATGTTTGCACGTGCTTTTTACATGTGTTGCCTTTAACTCAATATTCGTAATTTCCAGAAAACATTCCGACAAAATACTGCATAAAACTAAAAGAAAATAAAAAACACTTAGGGCTGTGGCGAGTGTTGATAACGTGTTTTTCATTGCAAAATCACCCACTAAAAACAATATCGCCCTTGTCCACCACCAACCCTTATCCGACGCCCGTGACCTCTGCGCGAACCCTGACCGGCAGATCGCGCCGCGTCTCTGCGTGCAGCGAGTCGAGTGGCCGGCGAGCGTGGCCTGTACGCGCTGCCGCCCCTCTGCCTGTGCGATCTGCTCTCCTCCATCACGGCCTTCGTTAGCTCGGCGTCGGCACAGAGGCCCAGGCTGTCGTCCGCACGCCATCGCGAGTCTCCGTGCCGGCCTGCAGGCAGCACAGTGCGTCAGCGTCAGACGCGACCCACTTCCAGCCACTACGCGTGTGTAGGTCATATTCTTAGGTTTTTTCGGTAAAGTCACGTAGGTAAAAAAATTTAAATTTATAAAAGTAAAAAGAAAAAAAAAATCACGACATTTCGGAGGCAACACAAGCTTCCCTCTTCAGATGGAACCGTCACAGCACGATTGCTGTATCAAGTAACGCTTTGGTTTTTTCGGTAAAGTCACGTCGGTTAAAAAAGAAGACAAATAAATTAAATCACGACGTTTCGTAGGCAACACAAGCTTCCGTCTTCAGGTGGAACCGTCACAGCACAATTATTCCTCCCCCCTCCCCTTAACCAGGTCGTGTGTCTTAGAGCTCTCTTCACTTGATACAGCAGTCGTGCTGTGACGGTTCCACCTGAAGACGGAAGCTTGTGTTTCCTCCGAAACGTCGTGATTTTTATTTTATTTTTATTTCTACTTTTTTTTATTTAAATTTTTTTACTTACGTGACTTTACCGAAAAAACCTAAGAATATGAATCCTTGCAGTCACGAAAGCTTCAAATCTATAAGTGTGTAGGTCATTTTGTTTGTCACGTGATAGTGCAAAAGAAATAGTTTACAGCGAATAATAGCTTACACTTTCTAGATTATAAATATTAGCGGAGCTAATGCCCTTCGCTATGCAACACTCCACCGCTGAGAGCCGGTACCTGACAGCAGACTTAACGCCCCTCCACTGGCACTCGCCGTTCGGGCGGCGTCTGCATTGGTACGCGCCGAGACGGTACCACAGGCCGGACGGCTGCCGTGAAGATCCGTCCCGTTCTGTCCATGTCTTGAGCCACTGTGCTCTCCGCCGGCGCTGAGACCGATGGAGAAAAACCCCTGCAGGCCCTGATAGTCTGGCAGCTCCAATTTGATGCGGCTCCCAACATTCTTCAAATCCTGCAAACAAATATATGCCATTATATTTTTCAGCGGTGCGGTTTCAGTATTCTGACTTCTGCGCCACCCAACCACCTCTAAATTTTGATTGTGTGAAGTGAATTTGCTGTATTTGATCAGCGATAAAGGTAGTTACAACATCAGGTATTATGTGCGAGTCTTTTCATTGAAGACATCATTACCAACTTGCCTCTGATGGCTCAGTGGTGAGGCCCCTCTCTGAAGCATCGAGGTCACCACGCGGAGATGGTGTTACTGGTTTTGGTGCCTGTTGCCGAGGAGTTCTTGCAGATACCTCGCGGCCACCATCCAGCAGCGGAGAGTGCTGGGCAAGATATCTGGGTTCTACTTCATCGCTGTAAGGCACCCAACCCAAGGCTCACGGTCACAGTTTGCACGTTTGAGAGGCAGCTCAAATCACATCTCTTTAACTACCATTACAAGTAGTGGTTATCATAATATTGGCTGTAATTATTTGACTGAATTTGTTATTGGAATTACATTAAGAAACAGCAAAAGAAACGAACAGATTGGAGAAAATAACGCAGGTTAAAGACATCAAATTTAACTGTTAAGAAACATTTGACTGTTAAGATAAGTGGTCTTGAGCAGGATGCTTTGCTCGAAGAGATGATGGTTGGTGGTCCAGACAAAAAATTATATGGCAGCTAAAGGGAACACGCCCAAGAGGATATCCACCCCAGGGATCGATCGATGAAATTAACTCATGTTCAGGTGCTAGGTGGATTGTAGCGTCGCAAGGCTGAGGGGGACGGTGTTGGCTTGGGACGGCTTTTGCCCAGCAGTGGATAGATTGTGGTTGCAAGTACGGGTTAACATAAACGCGCACTGCAGGCCAATCTCACCTGCAGCTGACGTTCACGGGTGAGCCATCCTCCTCAAGAACAAACCCTTCTGTCTCCTCCAGAAAGTTCTCTCCCTGCAGTGAGTGCAAGACGTAGCAAAGCTGAAAACCTTGCCGAACCCAACGTTGCATTCTAACCATTTTCACCTCAACCTCATCGTTTACGGCCGTTGGATTTGAAGCGTTTCTGAGACCAGGATCGCCCCAGTCAAACCAGAACATATGATATTTTAAACGTAAAGCATACACGGCCCAGCGGTAGCGTGTGCGCTGCTTGTGCAGCAGGCTGCACCTTATTGCCGGGGCACTAACCGTAAAACAAGCGCCGTCTGCTTCACGGCGGACGTGAAAAGATTCCGCGAAGTTTTGCGCCGTCGGCACGGTCCAACTTTACCAAATTTAAAAATATAATAATCCTGCAAATGACTCAAACTTTGGATTTCACATGATGGCAACATCGCCCCGACTGTGACGCTTCCCCAGACGATGACTGCGAAACATCGCGTCCCCGTGATGGCCCTGAACTCTAAGAATGGCTCGAATGTAAAATTATTATTGCACAGTACAGCAAAACCCCTGTTAACGACGATAATTGTGTCCACGAAACCGGTCGTTAAGTGATTTTGGTCGTCGAGCGAGTATAGGAAATACACGTTAAAGGCTTAATTTGTTCTGATAGCATCGAATGTTACCCTTTCTCACCCAAAAAACTTACTTTCTAATCTTTAAACAATGGATATTAATCCATAAAGATACTAACAAAATTATAAACACAAAATATTAAAATAAACACGGTTAATCATTGCTTTAATTAATATTTACTGTACCTACAACAGCCCGTCGTTAACAGGGGAATGGTTGGTAAACAAACACATTGGGCTCTATGGAGGCACAACACTACTATACACTACACTATACACTACACTACTATATACTACACATTGGGCTCTATGGAGGTGATTAGTTAACAGGGGTGGTCGTTAAGAGGGGTTCTACTATACACCACTATACACTACACTATATACTATACACTACCATTACTACGCTACTCTACACTTGAATACACTACACTACTACACTACTATACACTACACTACTATACTACAATACACTACACTACTATACACTTTAATACACTACTATACACTACACAATACACTACTATACACTACACTACTACACTACTATACACTACACTACTACACTACTATACACTACACTACTATACACTACACTACTATACACTACACAATACACTTCGCTACTGTACACTGCACATTGGGTGGTCGTTAAGAGGGGTTCTACACAGTACATGCGTGACCCGAATGTACGATCTCCCCGTCACCTCTGCCATCTCTACGATGGTGAGAGATGACTCGGGCCTGGGTTCCCGAATGGAGGCCTGCGGTGCGGCAAAAATCTCCACGTAATATTTGCGTTCTTCAAGATTTTCTGATGCTGTGGAAAAAGACGGGGAAGTCAAATACAATCGCAGAATCGTTCACCAATTTGAATAATTCTGTCTCTTATTTTTTACCTGCGGACTGCATGAAAAGGTTCTTGTCGGTTATTATGATAACGTCTTTGACCAACATACCCTGAAAGCTCCCGATATAATTAGATCTCAGAAGCTAAGCAGTCTTGAGCCTGGACACTATTTTGATGGGCGATCACCGTGCATAACAGCTGTTGTGAGGCCAAGTTGCAGCAAAATCCATTGCTGTACCAAACTTACTTGCTCCAGAATCTATGCTCCCCACCCTCAACCCGCACTGGCCAGCGTGAACTATGGTTAAATAACCTCTACAATCCGCACCGTGTGGAGAGGCCTTCATCCAGCAGTGAATCAACAAAAGGGCTATGCATGTACCCATGCACAGAGTTAGAAGGACGAAACCAACTTGCCATTGCTGGGCTACTGTCAATGTATGTAAGAGCCACGTGATCACATTGAAGCTGGCTTGCGTAGGGCATTTCGTTTGTACCGTTTTCATCTCCGTGGTCAAACTGGACAGAGCGTCTCTCTAGCATCCTCCACTCCGCTGCTTCCCCTCCTAGTCCCTCGAGGGGTGTCCTGCTTTTCAATAAAATGCAAATAAACAACACAAAAATAAATGACACCAACAACAACAACAATGCGAAGTAGAGTGGTGGGTGGCCCAGTGGTTATCATGCTGCACTACAACCCGAGTTTGATTCCTGACCATGGGAACATGAGTGGCGAGTGACATCTAAACCAGCTATTGCTGCCCTCTTCACCAATCCGAACTGACCAGCGTAGTGAAGTTTGCGATTCGATCTCTGGATCTCAGCAGTGCTGACTCAGTGCTCTGACCTTTGAGCCACTCGGCCACCTTTTAATGTAGAGCGTGTTGAGATGTCATAAGATTGTAAACTCAAACTGTGTTATGTATACGGCGCATTTGATTGTCATATTTACAGCACGCGCGTGTGTGTTCTAGGTAACGTTCTGCGGATTTTCATCTCCAGATTCCGGTTTTGTGAGTTGAACTCCACTCGGTCACCTGGACACGAGGATTGAATGCTCATAGTTCGTCCTCTGGTGAGCTCCATGGGGAATTACCGTCGGTGCTTCTTGAGGAGCAGACGGTCCATGTACGAGAGGGCAGAGTTCTCCGGGAAATTCAGGCTCAGCAAGGCCTTGCCTGGGATGGGGATTTCCTCTCGAGCCTCCACCGACACTGGGAGTGGGGAATGGTGAAGCAAAGATAAAATATCCCACACGGCCGTGGGGGAAGCCCTCATCCAGCAGTGAATTGACAAATCAGGGCTACGTGTTGATACTTGCCAACCCTAATGATGCAAGCGATAGGCTGCCAATACATAGACCCTTTTACCACATTACCATTTTCAAAGCAAGATTTTTTTAAAATATATTCAGTAAGTTATGAAGCCCTATCATCAGCTTTGAATCTCTATATGCAGTATAAAAGTGTTGAAAAATCGTCAGCCTACCGCTTGAATCGGTATGGTCAGCCAGTATGACACGTATACGTGCAGTACGCTCTCTTGCGCTACCACTGTGAATGTGACATCGGCATTTCATGAGCGACGGATGGCGGCAGTGGCCTCACCTGACACGGAGCCTCGTGTTGTCCGCTCGGGGCCCGGCGCGCAGGGCCCAGCGGCACCACGCCACGCCGCCACGGCCTCCTGGAACTCGCGCGACGACTCCTCCTCGCTGAAGTTCCCCTCCAGGAGAGAGCCCCTGCCGCCTCCCGTCCCCCCATCTCCCCGCCGTGACGACACTTCACCTGGCCCGGAGGTGCCTCGCGTTTCTTTCCCTCCTGGCTTCTGTACCCCGCCAACTTCTCCTCCTCCTCTTCTTCCTCCTTGTGTGGCTTCCGCTTCTATGGGGCCTATGGTTTGCCCGCTCTTGGCTCCCCCTTCTAACCCACGTTGGCCGAATCCTGACGCTCGACCGTCCACTTTCCTCCTTTCCCGCACTTCCGTTGATGGCGGCGAGGGTAAAGTGAAGCCAACGCCGGTATCCTGAGCTCTTGTGTTAGATAACGGCGGCGTCTGGATTATAAATAAAAACACGTGCCATTATTGTCGCAATCAGTCGACTTTACTAAAGTCTAAATCACAATACAGTTCGTCTTAAATCACTTAATTGGTGAGCAGATGGCATCGCTAATCACAAACCATGATTCCCCTGCCCTGTTATTCCAATTGTGCTATGGACATCATGTTCTGAAACAAAGTATGCATTCAGATCTTTCAGATAACATTAATGTAATAGCTAAAGTTACGCTACAAATTGCATAACTATCTATTGGCAATCTTCCATTTGTTTAACTACATATTGATTGTTTTCGCATCTGCATTCAGTTTTAAGGTGCTACAACTTCATGTATTTTAATTCTCTGTTCAGTACTATCTCAACAGCTGTTTCTTGGGAAGAAGCTGCTGCTGCTGCTGCTGCTGTGGTGGCAGATTTTCCTTTTCAAATAGTTTGCCCTTATCTTGTCAATGCTCTCAATGTTTCTGTATTCTCCCTATTACCCAGTTCGATGGGGGACCTACTCCACGTGAACAAAAGTAAGTAAATAAATACACTGACAACTCCTAGAGCAGCGCAACTCAACGTGTTGGAGAACTTTGCGAAGCCACGTTCCCTAACGTCCCGTCCATCGGCTGCCGAGCCCATGTCTCGCTTGAAGCGTTGGACTACGTCCGGCGTCAACGTGAGACTCGCCATTTCCGACTGCTGGCATTGGAGCATCCCGTGATGAGATTGTAAATGTTAACGACATTTTTTTACAATTATTTTGCACCCGTTTTATCCCGATTGCGATCGGCATCATGTCATGAGCCGAAATAACCGTTAGGATGTCTTACAGAGCAGCGTGTATCCCCCTTCACGTTATGGAATGGCCTTTGGAATCAAGATATCATGGAGCAACCTCCGAGATCCCTTCATGTAACCACTGGTCCACACAATGTCAGTAATGTTCAACCATCAAGAATCATGCGAGAGTAATGTTCATAGCAGGACATTTAAGCGATTAATATTAAAGCTCAAAGCCAAATTAAGTGTAGAACAAAACTTAATGAGATTTTTGCTCACCACGCTTGAGAGCATCAACTGTAGCGTATTGCCCACTGGTTGCAGCGATTCACAGTTCAAATCCGTCAGGCCGCCCTGGTTAAGGGATTTAACCATAAAATACACACCGCTTGCTTCACAATGGATGTTAAATATCCCATGACGCAATTCGAAAAGAGGAGGTCATTGTCTGCCGACGTCATGATCCAAATGAAAACAATTACCGACACATTACTCAAATGGGATTACACATGGCAACATCGCCCCCTACTTTGAAACTACTGAAGTCCAATGTCTGTGAAAACATAGCGCGCCTTCGTGATAGCCTTGCGCTGTTACAACGGCGCGATCACCTCCAAATAATGATGATATCTTACCTGGATGGGATGCGATCGGTGTGCCCGCAGCGCACCCTTGTGGTGCATCCTGCTGAAGCAGGGCACGCAGAAATCCTCGCCGCACTCCACACACACCTGGCTCGCGCGCACGCACACACGCACGCACACATGCACGCAGACAACGTACAGCACTTTTTTAATCCACTGCTAGACGAAGGCCTCCTCAACCAAGCTGTGGAGGTCATGGGAGTTGTTTGGCTATACTTCACCGCGCCAGTTGGTGCGGGTAGGTGAAAGGAGTCAAGCCCAGGTCTGGTGTCAGATGTCACTCGCCACCGTCGTTTAGCCGTGACCGGGAATCTAACTCGGGTCATAGCGCAGTGCGCAAACCAGGACAGAGTTATTCGGACTTACAACCTGACAAAGTTAAGCTGAAAGGGCATAAAAGGGATGCGCTGGAAAAAGCATGTATTTATATTTTAAGAAACCCCATGATAGGTTAATTGGAACATTATCAATGTACCCTTAAGAGTTTGTATTAGATCTCCCAAAGCCAATTCCAGTTTGGTAAACAAGAGACATACTCTTTGGTTCTTTCGGTAAAGTCACGTGACTTTACCGAAAGAACCAAAGAGTATGGATTCCTGCAGTCACGAAAGCTTCAAATCAAAACAAGAGACAGTCGCTTCTAAACATCGCATGAAGAGTGCACTGTCCAGACACTCTTTGTTACAATTCCAGTTTGGTAAACAGACACGTTTTAATCACTTTGATCCACTCCGCAGTTCAACACTCACTTTGATGCGCTTACTGAAAATTGAACCTCTTACCAGCAGGGCGGGTTTGTTTTCACACTGGCCACATTTCTTTGCTCTTTTCGCTTCTGTCACCCACTTGGTTTGAGGGGAAGACACTGGGATGGCCTTCTTGACTTCTGCAAATAAAAAGGCATTAAGTACAAGATAAAGCACTACGCTTTAAACATGATCACACACACACACGTACTGATGAGAAGCTGTTATGATAAACTACCTTTGTTATGATACGCTTTGCTTTACAAATAATGTTTATGGGCAGCCTATTGACAGGTTTAATAAAAATTGTGAATCTTCACAGGAATAAATACCACACCAAGAAGATGACCATAATCCTGGCAGAGCATGCAAATCAGTATGTGATTATAATCATAACTATGATTCACATCTAAGGGTGTAACGATACATCGATTCTTACCTTCAAAACACATGCACAGAATCGTACATGTACAGAATCGTACATGTAAAAATTAATTATTTTCGACTCATACTGGAAGTAATAAAAAAATGACTGCCCTTTGTCAATCCACTGCTCGATGAAGGCCACCCATGCCTTTTGGTGATGGGGGTTGTTTGACCGTACTTCACGCGCTGGTCAGAGCGGGTGAGTTAAATGGGTGTCCAGCACTGATTTAAGTATCGATCGCGACGAGTGTCTGCCATGGCCAGACATTGAACTCAGGGTCTAAGTTCATAACGCAATGTATGTATGTATTTGTGTTGAACTTCTTTCGCGCCGTACATAGCCAACCGTGCTAATCGGAGGTGCAATGCGCTAACCATAGCACCACCGCTCCACCCAAAATACCGCCGACTATGTAATCACAGCGGTCACTATCGGCACTCCATTGCGTCACGAGGCAAAATAAAACATCGATTTAAATTTCGATTTAAAGCTTTCGTGACTGCAGGGATTAATCTTCTTGGTTATTTCGGTAAAGTCACGTAGAAGGGAAATAATAAAATAATAAAAATTCAACATAATAAAATACAATTCTCACGACGTTCCGGCCATAACGCAAGCAGCCGTCCTCAGGTGAAGAACAGGTCTGTCGGAAAGACAGCGTCTGAATGAACACCACCAAGCTTGGCAGCGTATATTTAAGCTGGTGGTGTTTCATTCAGACGCTGTCTTCCCGACAGCTCTGTTCTTCACCTGAGGACGGCTGCTTGCGTTGTGGCCAAAACGTCGTGACAATTGTATTTCATTATGTTTTATTTTTATATTTTATTATTTCCCTTCTATGTGACTTTACCGAAAGAACCAAAAGCATCGATTCTTAAATCGAATCGCTACTTGAGGTCATGACAATCGTGAATCACAAGGGGTGGGCGGGAAGGCAAATTGCTGCAGGCCTATTCATTGTAAACACATTAAACTGCGAGAGCGCAAATAGAGCAGATGATGCTATGGGTTACAAGGGGCGGATCAAACTTGCCTTCGACTTGCTCCTTCAGAACCCTGATTCTCACTTTGCCCGAGCCCACCTGAAACCACAGCGACAAGCACAGCACACCTTAAGACAAACAGAATTAATCAAACCGCAACGTGAAACAGAGTTACGGAGTTCACACTGCACTGTACACAATAGTGACATTTTTTAAAGTGTATGCAGCTGAGTAGCTTGAGTAGTGTACACAAAGTTATGCTTCCCACCGTCTCTCCCTGCGTCAGACTCAGTTGAGGAATTTGACACCTGTCCCTGAGTTTGCTTTGCTGCTCAGAATCTATTTACTCACACTCCAGCCACTCACCGCTACAATGGATGCAGGCTTCCCTAGCAAAAAAAATGTTTTTCTCTCTCGGTTCAGACCTATAGGTGAGATTTGCTGATTAAAAGAGACGAACGCTGACTGCATGCCCATGCACACCATGACGAAGGTCTCGCCAAGCCATTGCCAAATCACATCACGGAATGCAACATCCATCGAACTCCTTACAGGCAAGCTGATGTTATCATTCAATCTCCATGGAAGAGGTCCTCTCAAGTGTCATCATCCTTCTTTTGGACGCTACTGCATCGGCCATAATCCTTTCTATCAACGCTCACTGCCTAAGCCCACTCACATGTCTTAGCAGTTAATATGACGTCTCTAACTTGTGTATGTTCTCACGTCCATGTGTTCCCAAATCTGTCTCTCATTGAAATTCCAAGCACGCATATCTCCGTGCTCTCAAGCTCACTTTGTGAAATGTATATGAAACGACTGAATATTTCTTGCACAGGACTGCGTTGGCTCGCACATACACACACGCTCACCTTGCTGCCCTGCCTTGGCACGGCATTGGAAGGCAGAGTCAGGGCTCCTGTTTGCCCAGTCTTCCAGTGAAACCCTCCCGCCTGCCTGCCAGACCAAACACGTACAAGTGTGTGAGAAAGCCAATGCACGGAACAAGCTTATCTTATCTTAACGTAATTCACATAGCGCCTTAAGCAAGGCGTTTTACAAAGAATTAGGAATGGTGCATATGAATGTAATAATGGAGAAGAGGTGAGTGAAATAGATGAGAGGAAGCAATGGGAAAATCTGTGATGCGCGAATTCGGTGAAACCGAGACTTTTGACGGTAAATGATGATGAATGTATTGAATGAACGGGGAATGAGTGATAGCCATATCATCTCAATCTAGTGGGTTTTTTTTGTCACAGTCCTTTGTCAATCCGGTACTGGATGAGGGCCTCATCCACACCATGTTGACGGTCATGGGGGTTCAGTGGACCATACTTCACCACGCTGGTTAGTGCGTATTGTCACGGAGAGGGAGGTCCAGGACCAGTTCATAGATTACTCACCAGTAATGTTAACTGTGGCTGGGAATTGGTGCCAGAACAACGCTCCGTATGTATGTTGAACTTCTTTTTCACCGTACGTAGCCAACCATGTGAACTGGAGGTGCTCTGACCTGAGCCACCCAGCCACCACACATCTTCCATATAATTAAAATAGATAACAGGTATTATACAAATCATAATAGACTTGTTTGGGGAATAGCAGTGAAACAGTGGATGTTTCTCTTTGGTGGTTTCATTTATTTCGCCTTGCAAGATGTAAATGGGTTACATTCTAAATTTAAATAATGGGGCTTTGTTCGAAAACCTGATATATACCGGGACAAGCCATCCCTGAAATAGCGCAGTATTTCAATGAAACACCGGGTCTAGCTGCTAATGGCAATGGTAATGAGGCATTGTATTTTTCGATTTAAAGCTTTCGTGACTGCAGGGATTCATCTTCTTGGTTCTTTCGGTAAAGTCACGTAGAAGGGAAATAATAAAATAATAAAAATTAAACATAATAAAATACAATTCTCACGACGTTTCGGCCACAACGCAAACAGCCGACATCACGTGAAGAACAGGTCTGTCGGAAAGACAGCGTCTGAATGAACACCACCAAGCTTGGCAGCGTATATTTAAGCTGGGTTAGAGGACGGCTGCTTGCGTTGTGGCCGAAACGTCGTGAGAATTGTATTTTATGATGTAAAATTTTTATTATTTTATTATTTCCCTTCTACGTGATTTTACCGAAAGAACCAAGAAGATGAATGAGGCATTGGTTGGGTTTCCAGCACCGACCGCTTCTCTTCCCGCAGCCGCTGCCCCTCGCGCCGCAGTTTCTCCAGCTGCTCCTCCAGCTCCGTGTTCTCCACGGCGAGCTGCAGCGTCTCTCCGCGCAGAGCCTGCGTGCTGCTGTTGCTCCACACACCAGACGCGCGAACGTACCGTACGGGAAAAAACATACATTCTTACACGTGTACGGATCAAGATTTGCATTGATCATATCTCATCTCAATCATTCTAACCACAGCTGCTGTGTGTGTTTAGCCTCGAGTAGCCCATGATGACATCTGTCCCTGTGCACAACAAGGTTAATTAGCATGGGTTATGGACAAACAAGCCCCAAAACTCACATGGCATGAGGAGACCAACATTCAGGAGTGGATCGACAGAGTGTGGTCAATTATTATTTATAATCCATTATACGTAATGGATTCATACGATTACCTGCAACCACTGATGGCCATTGCATTCACCACAGCCAATTCTTAAATTGAAAACGTGTCCCCGAGTCACGAACTATCATTAAAATCCCCAGTCACGGTGTGGAATCTAAACACATTCCTGCGGAGGGAGCTGGTAGGAACGTTGGGTTGCTCGGTCAATGGCCAGGGTCAACGGCGGCGTGGTGTATTCCGCAAATATGGCCGACTGTGAGGGTGGGCACAAGCCGGCGTGAGTAGGTTAAACGTTGAGTTTTATAAGGGCACCACGGGGTGACCAGCCCCTCCTCACCCAGCCCCACCCCCCACCCAGCCCCTCCCCACCCTACCCTCTCCATCCAGCCCCACCCCTCCCATTTTTGGATGCACGACGGACGGACGGACACAATAATTCCCTGTGGGCTAGTGTAACCAGGAGGTTCCTACCAGTATCACCCCTACTTGCACAACTTGCTTAACAAGCCAATACTGTAAACATTAAATACCCACGTCTGCGTACTTGTCGGTGTATTTACTCTTTTCATCAATGTATTAATTGTACAACAGTTCAATATTAATGCTTCTCAAGATAAGAATAGTTTTCTTATTTGAGAATACAAACTGTATTATTTGTACAGCCACTGATTGATATTCACACATCGAACCAGGGCTCTCTGGCTGAGCTTTGTTCTCACCGAGCTTTGAGTTTCGCTGAAACGGGTTCCTTGTTTCCAGTCAGCACCACAAACCCTTGTCTCTCCATCCCTCGAGTGGCCCTTTCACCTCTATCACACACACAGGAAACAGCGAATACGTGGCATTGATTTGGTTTGGCCCAGTGAAACTGAATATCATGAAAAAACACACAAGGGTTTTAAAGAAATTCTGCACAACTTAAATAAACATATGTAGTTGAGATCCTAGCAGAGTTTAAGACCTTATGTTCTTATTTAAAGCTGTGCATTGGGTTCTATTATTTATTATTGTACTTTATAACGTGGTTACTTTTTGTGCTGTTTAATATTTGTTTTTTTGGCATGATTTACGTTTTTTATTTTTTTTTATTAATTTTAATTTCATTTTTTTTACCTACGTGACTTTACCGAAAAAACTAAGAGTCTGAATCCTTGCAGTCACGAAAGCTTCAAATCTAGAATTATTTATGTGGTTCATTGTTATATTGACTTTTTTGATTACTGAGGTCACGCTTACAAATGAGACTAGCCTGGTCTCCCTCTCGAGTTCTCACCTCGTTACTCAAATTAACTTGAACTTGTTCAGACACGCGTTTGTTAGCAATGGCAATGGTTATAATACTGTTGTGGTACTATATGATTACTTTTGCATATGATTTGTCCTTAAATCTAGCAATATTTTTGTTCCACATATCAGAAAAACATTGTGTGGTCGATAAGAGCCCCAGTATTAGCCTGCATGTATGGACGAGTTAGATGCTGAATGCATCATCCACATGTCCATGTGGATTCACAATATTGTCCCTATTAGCAGAGTACCAGACATGCGTACACGAAGTACAAACGAGGAGACACAGCAAATGAGACAGACAATACCAACATGTGCGTCTTGGTTTATTTGAGACTTATACACCCAGGAAAGCCTCAGTTGGTCTCAAGACTATGTTGATGATGTTGCTAAAAGCCTGTTGGTCAGTCCACTGCTGGATGAGGGCCTCCCACCCCTGTGCCTTGTGGGGGCTACTTGACCATACCTCACCGCGCTGGTCAGTGCGGGTTTGTGAAGGCGGAGAACAGAATAGACGTTTGAGAATATAACTACAATAGAATAACAATGAGGTTTTGCTCAGCGGACCAACCACACATCATCTCGCAGCAGTCTATAACACCTGATAATTGGTTCTTTACCCTTCTATCTGGCAACAAAACTGACACCTTTTTTTACGAGGAGTCATGTTTGCATAGACCACAATACCTGTAGCCATAATGCAAACAAAAAACATAACTCTGATAATGTGCACTGTCCTTGAAGTTGATTGGTCCAATGGTGTAAATGCTAACCCCGAGCTCTCATACTCTGATGGTAATTTGTCTTTGAGTTGTGCGCCTTTTGGCGTCATCTGGTCCAACCCATGTGAGACTAGGCTCTAAGGAAAGCTGTCTCAGGTGTGGACCAATCAACTTCAAGGACAGTGCATACATTATCAGAGTTGTGTGTTTTGTTTGCATTATGACTGCAGGTATTGTGGTCTATGCAAACATGACTCCTCGTAAAAAAGGTGTCAGTTTTGTTGCCAGATAAAAGGGTAAAGAACCAATTATCATATTTTTTACTGGCAAATGAGGTTTCAATTGTCTATAACACCTGTTATGCATGACGGTCGCCCATCCAAACACTCCCACGCTTATAATATAGATTGTTTTGGGTTAGATTGCCTAAATATAAACGTGTCGTTAACCCCGCCACCACCCGACACAGCAAATCAGTAAGGTTTGTCACGTAAACAACGTGACAATTCGTTACTAGGACATCACAACCGGTGTGTTGGAAATAAAATACACAACATTTACAATCTAGCCACGCTCAACGCGGCTCAGCTTCCCTGGATCTGACGAGCCTCGTAGCTTCCCAGTGGTGTTCGGTCACAGCCCCAGGGCAGTACGAACAACTTTATTAATCGACGATTGCATAGAGACGTTGTGGGTATCGTTTCAAACACAAATCGTCCATCACCCCCCCCCCCACCACCACCATCACCACCTCGTACCTCCGCCTGCACGGCGCGTCAACGCCGCCGGCCCGCCCTTTTCGTTGCCCTCAACTTCCCTCCGGCGATCACAGAGCGCTGCAAGAACAACAACAACAGCAGCAGCAGCAGCAACGTTCTTAACGACGATGACGACGCTCGGTCTAAGGGAGAGTTGTGATCGCTGCTTCAGAGCGAGGCCTAAGTGAGGGCCACAAGCCTACGGCTCGCCTCGGTTGCCAAGCAACTCGGGCGTTTCTCGTTGCCTTGGCGACGGCTCAGAGACGCGCGCTGTGATTGGGCGGTCACACCCGCGCGTGGTAGTAAGGCGTGCTCCCATTGGACGGTTCGCCTCCCCCTGACTCCGACTGCGCGGCGGGTGACTTTAACGCGTTAAGCTGTCGCTATTCGTGCATCTTCTCGGGTTATAAAGTCCTTCATGAAGTCTTAACGTCCACAAAGCTGTGCTTTCGCGATGTCAACGAGTTCCAATTAAAATATTTGACCCAATTGTATCTTCATAATGAATCAATATATCGTGCGTAAGGGTGTCCAGGATGTCAATTGTTCTATATATACAACATTATTTGGTGATTTTTATTTTACCTCATCAGGTAAGGGGCCGTCCATAAATGACGTCACGCGATTTTGGACGATTTTTGCCCCTCCCCCCCTCCCTTGTCACATGACGTCACAAAAAGTCAGACCCCCCCCCCTCAAATATGACGTCACAAAGCTCTGCCCCGCCCCGCCCCGCCGAAACGTCGTGAGAATTTGATAAAGTTTTATTTTTATTATTTTATTATTTCCCTTCTACGTGACTTTACCCAAAGAACCAAGAAACACATTCCTGCGGAGGGAGCTGGTAGGAACGTTGGGTTGCTCGGTCAATGGCCAGGGTCAACGGCGGCGTGGTGTATTCCGCAAATATGCCCGACTGTGAGGGCGGGCACAGGCCGGCGTGAGTAGGTGAAACGTTGAGTTTTATAAGGGCACCACGGGGTGACCAGCCCCTCCCCACCCAGCCCCACCCCTCCCACCCCTCACCCAGCCCTACCCTCCCCACCCAGCCCCACCCAGCCCCTTCCCACCCTCCCCTTTCCACCCAGCCCCTTCCCACCCCACCCTCCCCACCCAGCCCTTCCCCACCCAGCCCTCCCCACCCTCCCCTCTCCACCCAGCCCCTCCCCACCCTCCCCTCTCCACCCAGCCCCTCCCCACCCAGCCCCTCCCTGCACGACGGACACAATAATCCCCTGTGGGCTGGTGTAACCAGTGGGTTCCTACCAGTATAAGTTGTTGTTATTTTTGCTGGTCCACCGCTGCCAACGCAGCAGCAGTATGACCAGATATAGTTAGGAATACTCGTCTTCCTTGACGCAAGTGAATTCACACCACGAGCAAGTATGTATAACCAAAATGATTTATTACAAAAACGAAGCTTACTTTTAATAAACATCACTCTGCATGCGATTAGAATTGCGCGCGCAATCAATGAATCGAGACACCAGCTCGTCAGGAAGGAGTTGCAATTCCTACTGAACAACTGCTCGAGATTGACGTGGAACTCGGTGATATACACAAGGAGATTAGGGGCCGTCCATAAATGACGTCACGCGAATTTGGACGATTTTTGACCCCCCCCCCCCTTCGTCACACGGCGTCACAAAAAGTCAGACCCCCCCCCTCAAATATGACGTCACAAAGCTCTGCCCCCCCCCCCCCCCCCAAAACCATATTTCCATTTTGAAAATAAAACTTGCTTCAATTCGTAGTGCGTATTTAATGTGCCGCTGCACTCTGATGTTGTAGTAGTGTTGTTATAACAATTATATATTTATTTAAAGTTGCGCATTTTGATGTGACGTCACGTTTCTCAACCCCCCCCCCCCTCGTCACACATCGTCACAAATATCTGACCCCTCCCCCCCCCAGGTGCGTGACGTCATTTATGGACGGCCCCTTATTTGTACCTCAGTCCCGACTGCGCAGACATCCACTGAGTTCACACTGCGTGCGTGCGGTAACAGGCTCGCTGCAAAATAAAACCAAGCACTGTCTCGATTTGAAGCTTTCGTGACTGCAGGAATCCATACTCTTTGGTTCTTTCGGTAAAGTCACGTAGGTAGAACATTTTTATTATAATAAATCACGACGTTTCGATCGCAACACAAGCGGTCGTCCTCAGGCGGAAAAAATAATTCAGCAGTGGAACTGCTGAATCAGCGAGGAGCGAGCTGTTACACCAAGAGGTTATACTGGCAGGAATCTCCTGGTTACACCAGCCCACATGGGATTATTGTGTCCGTCCGTCCGTTGTGCATCCAAAAATGGGAGGGGTGGGGCTGGGTGGAGAGGGGAGGGTGGGGAGGGGCTGGGTGGGGAGGGTGGGGAGGGGCTGGGTGGGGAGGGTGGGGCTGGGTGGGGGCTGGGTGGGGTGAGGCTGGGTGGGGAGGGGCTGGTCACCCCGTGGTGCCCTTATAAAACTCAACGTTTAACCTACTCACGCCGGCTTGTGCCCGCCCTCACAGTCGGCCATATTTGCGGAATACACCACGCCGCTGTTGACCCTGGCCATTGACCGAGCAACGCAACGTTCCTACCAACTCCCTCCGCAGGAATGTGTTGTATGTGGTGATGGGCAAGCAAGCGGGGTCTGAGCTGGAAAGGAAATTTTTTTTCCGCCTGAGGACGACCGCTTGTGTTGCTTTTGAAACGTCGTGATTTATTATAATTTTTCTACCTACGTGACGTTAACCGAAAGGACCAACGAGTAAGCATCGTCTCATTCGCACACGTCATCGTTGCACGGGCCCACGTGTGTCGAAGCGCCCACCCTAAAGACCTACTACACATGACACAGCATGGTTTGACGACAATCGACGCGTTTTAAATTACAACAATCATGCACCCGACTGTTTGGTCACTGCGCTACAAGTATCAGAAACTAAAAAGCTTTCGTGACTGCAGGAATCCATACTCTTTGGTTCGTTCGGTAAAGTCACGTAGGTGTAAAATAAAATAAATCACGACGCTTCGGGCGCAACACAAGCTTTCCCACCTGATGACGGACGCTTGTGTTGCGCCCGAAACGTCGTGATTTATTTATTTTGAAACCTACGTGACTTTACCGAAAGAACCAAAGAGTAAGAATCTGATAATGTTATAATTTGAAAGATAACACACAGAAAATTAGCCAAACCTTAACCCCTAATACGGACCAACTATACCCAACCAGCCACCGGACTAGCCCTAGCCCTCACCAGCTAATCAAACATTCACTTTGCAAGTCATCTTATTAACCTTAACCCTGCATCCAACCCACACCAACTACCTCTCCCACTCACTACAAATCCGACCAGCCACTTCGTACTAACTCTACCCATAACTTTAACCAATTCGCCATCGAACCCATTAGAAATATCCCGAGCCTCAACCAAACAATAAATCAGCCACGGGTACTACTAATTCTACCCCTAATTATTACCAATGATCTCATCAGCCGCTGCCATTAACCATCTCTCTGCCCCGAAACCCGAATCCGTTTTCACGTGTTGTTAGCATTTATGATGACTGTGCTTACGCCACCCTAACGCGTTGACCATCAACATGAAGGGGTTATTTCTATAGAGACGTTACACTCATGCACCCAAAACGTAGTTTTTTGCTTTAAATAAATCCATAGCAATAACATTAACAGTATGGGGGACGGGGGGACGGGTCCCTATGTATGAAGCGTATGGTGGTGGGGCTGTGTGTGAGCGTCTCCTTCGTTGTGCACCCAGCCTCCCCGTGGTGCGGTGACCCCAGGAGGGGAAGGACGACGCCGCGGGATGCCCTCCTCACTCAGCGTGACTCTGGCTAAGCCGGCGTCTTGCCTCCCGCTCTGTCGAAGAAGCCCAACTCCTGTAAAATCACCTGCAAGCGCGCCAGGTTCTGCGGAGTGTATTCATCTTCCATGTTCTCCTGCACGCGTTTCACCGGCATCATCCGCGCGTGGCGTTGGGCGACGCGGAGACGACCAGGGTGGACGGACGGCCGAGGTTGTCCCCTTGGGACCTGGTCGACTGATGGGCTCATACGAGCTCGGACCTCCTGAGAGACGACGTGTGGGCGATGGGGAGAGGGGTGTTGTAGGCCCGGCGGACGCAGCTGCGGAGGCGACGTGGAGTGGATGGATGAGGTGGTGGTGGTGGAGGAGGCACGGTTGGCTGGAAGAGGTGCCAGGGAACACGGGGCGAACAGCGCCGCGCACATGAGCAGCGCGCCGGCTACGCGCCCACTCACGCGTGAAGGCATCGCCACGTTTGAGAATCTAAAATGTATAGAAAAACAACAACACCAAATACATATTTCCAATTGAATGCATTTGCCACGAAAATTGTTTTGCACCATGCCGCTGCTTGCTTTGCCGTTGGTGAGTCATCGGTCCAGTAATTTATCCAAGGTCTCCCTTACAAAAAACATACTCTACAATTTCCGTCGTTATTTTATGAATACAAAAAATCATTTATTGGCGGGTTTTTTTGCTCCACTGCACAAAATAAACTTTGCGGGAAGTGACCTGTTGACATGCACAGTGATAGTGTTCATGCGCTGCATTCTTGTCGTGTGTGTCAAGTAATATAAATGCAATTATCATACTATATTAGAATAATGAAAAGTGTTGCTGCTCTGGTGGTAGGGAGGCATGGACGGACGCATGTTTGTATGTTGAACTTCTTTCGCACCGTACGCAACCAACCGTGCTAATCGGATTTGCGTTACTCGTTTGCAATGAATGGAAAAAGCCGATACGAAAGCACGAAAAGCATTTACGTTGCGCGAACTTGCCATAAGAACGCGGCCATATAACTTGCACCAACACGCCGTACGTGCCGTAGCGCCTGTTTACACGGATAAAGAGACACAATTAGCGATCGTCTTACAAGTAACGGTCGTGTACCAGCGGCGGGCCGTGTGGGAGTCGCGCGACCCGAAGATGTTAGCACAGGTGAAGCTGTTCCCGGAACCTTCAATTGCGCTCCACAAGCTTGGCGTTCAGGCGAAGTCGCAGCGTACTTCAGCAGCATGTGCAGGGCTCCAGAACTCCGGACGGCTCTTCGGCACCGTCGTACAGCTTGTACGCAACGCTCAGCAGCGCTTATTCAGCACTTGCCATTTCAGCACCCTGGGGCAAAGAAACGCTGTTCGGCAACGCCAGAGATCCATTCAGCACCCTGGACAGCGGCCGTGCGTCGCTCGATCCGGACGCGACCGAACGCTTTTATATTGCCGCGTGTCGTCACAGCTTTGCGTCAAAACACATTAGCCTCACGCCGATGTACGAGCGAGCTCTGCGGTAG